CCTCATCAATTAATCATTGTCAATACTTAATGTCGCCTTTATCCGACGTGAGCCTCGATGTCATTTTTAACTGACTCTACTATCCTTTTTTATTTTATATTGCTTTCCTTATTTGTGGTGGATTAAGGGGACTAACCGACATCAATACCCTTTTCGTGACGCTAGCAATGGTGTTGGTTCCTTTATCCGACATTGCACGATTTAATGTCCGATTTTTTCCAAAAATCCAACAGTAATTGGGGTTTCGTGTCGGTTTTTACACGCTAGTGATAACCTCTTTTGTAGTAATGAAGCTCTTCAATGCGAGAGGGTAAACCAATTCCCCGACACCCATTTGAGTAAGCTCTCCAGTGCGAGATGGTAAACTAATTGCTCTCCAGTGTGAAAGGGTAAACTAATAGCGCTCCAATGCGAGAGGGTAAACTAATTGTTCTCTAGTGCTAGAGAGTAAACTAATTGCTCTCCAGTGCGGGAGGGTAAACTAATTCCCCAACACCCATTTGGGTAACTCTCTAGTGCGAGAATGCCACATAGCTCAAAAGATTGAATGCTTGAAAACCAACTAAGTATCAAATGGTCAGGGGGCAACAACCACTTTGCACTAACAATTCGCTCATTCGACACTTCATCTTCAACAGCTCCGATCTTGGCAACTCCATCCTTGATTGCTCTATCTACGGCAGCTGAGAAATCAAACTCAAGCAGTTTTCTTATTTTTGGCAAGCAACCCAAACGTGGCAGCCCAAACCGTGGCCTATGCCACGCCACTTCCTTGGCCCACGCCGAGCCAATCCTTGGCTTCAGTCAAGCTGAACAGCACAAGCAATGGCCCTTGCCACTCCACCTCATTGGCCCATGCTAAGCCGACTCTTAACCCTGTCAGCCGACGTGTCGCACCACCTCGACAGCTGCCCCGTGGCAGCACCACCTAAGAAGAAGACAAAGAGAATTAACTTTTTCTTACATCGGTGCGGGGCGGAGAAGACAAAGAAATCAACGGAAGACGGTTATTTACACAGGCAAGTAAAAAAGAGTGTTAGGGGAGGGGGAACAAATATCCTCTAGTTTTCTTTCTTTCTCGTAGGGATAAATAATAGCCCTCCGAAGTTGATTTAATCCCCTACTTAAGGTAGGCTTAAATAGGCTTTGGAGGCGATTTATTTCCCTTTCCTAGAAGAATCTAATTCCAAGTCCAAGTGAGAATCTGCATCAAAGTTGGAAATCTCTACACCTGTTGCCCTTTCTTGCAAGTAGCTCAGCAGGTGTAGGGGTATTTGTGGAGCCAAAAATAATCGAGAAAAATATGGAGGTGACACGTGGATTCTAGGGTAAAAAGGACAAAATTAACCCCGAGGAATACCGGAACTCCTACGCATGAGCAGTGGACAATCATGACTCAATCAAGGTCCAAAGTGCTCAAAATAGGTAATTATTCAAAACCTATTTCATCCATCCTCATCAAATCTTCTCCACAAGATAACCCCCAAATCATTCCTTTCAATTTATATTAATTAGCTAACAAATCATGAATCTCACCCAAAAAACCATCCAAGTGGCTCGTCCTCCTCCTTCCAAAGGGGCTGGCCACATCCCTATATAAAGACCCTCATTTTCTCCAAAACCTAAGTTTTACACTCTTGCTAAATTCTCTAAATTCTCCAAACACTTTTCCCTCAAAATTCTAACTTTGGCATTGGAGGTTCTTCGGCCAAAGCCCCCCCTCCCCCCCCAAAATTCATCGTGGGCGCGTGAAGCTCTTGGCCTTGACCAAAGGTGTTATTTGTTTTCTAGGTGCAATTTGGTCCAAGAATAAGGAGGAAGAAATTTGCATCCACATCAATCACCATAGCCACCCTGCTATACGTATAACAAAGCTTCATGCATGTTCAACCAAACTAAAGCTCTTCAAACCTATTTAACGAAAAAAAAAAAAAAAAACACTTTGGACTTGAAGAATAAAAACTGGAGGCACGTATAAAATATACTGCGGTTGGGATTGAAGAGGGAGAGATAAAGAGAGTAGGGAGAGGAAAGATAATCAAGAGAGTGAAGTGGTAAATAAGGACGAGAAATGGGATAGATAAGAAAAAGAATAAAGTGACGAGAGAAATATATAATAGTTATTTTCTAATTAGCCTAAATTTATGATCTATGCATAACTATTATAAATAATTCATTGATTATGTAAAAAAAAATGGCCATTAATATATGACAATTTGTCAAGATTTTATTGACCTTTGACTAAATTACTTGGTTTCAAAAACAATTCAAGTCATAAATCAAATGATCTGATTGTTTGTCACATCTCGGCCCGGTGGGGACCACTTTCCGAGCCTGCTTCACCATCGTAGCACGATATTGTCCGCTTTGGGCCCCAACCACGCCCTCATAGTTTTGTTTCTGGGAACTCACACGAGAACTTCCCGATGGGTCACCCATCCTGGGAATGTTTTCGCGCGCTACTCGTTTAACTTTGGAGTTCCTACGGAACCCAAAGCCAGTGAGCTCCCAAAATGCCTCGTGCTAGGTAGGGATGAGAATATACATATAAGGATCACTCCCCTGGGCGATGTGGGATGTCATAATCCACCCCCCTTAGGGGCCCGACATTTTCGTCGGCACATTCGCGACCAGGGTTAGGCTCTAATACCAAATTGTCACATCCTGGTCCGAGAGGGGACCACTTCCCGTGCCCGCTCCACCACCATAGCACGATATTGTCCGCTTTGGGCCCCGACCACGCCTTCACGGTTTTGTTTCTAGGAATTCACACGAGAACTTCCCGATGGGTCACCCATCCTGGGAATGCTCTCGCGCGCTACTCGCTTAACTTCGGAGTTCCTACAGAACCCGAAGCCAATGAGCTCCCAAAAGGCCTCGTGCTAGGTAGGGATGGGAATATACATATAAGGATCACTCCCCTGGGTGATGTGAGATGTCACATTGTTAGTGATTAGATTAACGTGCTTATTTTCTATTGGTGATACATCATTTAGTTTGTATATTTAATTTAACAATTTAGTATCTCTAACATCATCCAACTCTAAAATGTGAATGCCCTTTGTTTTTTCCCTGGTAACCATGAAAGTTTTGCTTTTTCTTCCTATTATTGGAGTCTTTTTATTGTACTTCTCTTCTATTATGAAATCATAACTAGAGGTTGACACTTGAAACCGAAAACACGAATCAAATCGAACTGCATCGAAAGGTTTGATTTTGTGGTTTTGAAACAGTTGCGGTTTTGAAATCAAACCGTAGAGTAGGAAATTGTTTGGTTTCCGTTTTGGCTTTTGAAAACCGCACTGAAACCAAAACTGTAGCCCAAATTAAATGTCATGTTTTAATTGGTTGTTTGTTAGAGTACATACATTTAGTATGAACTCAACTACACTAGAATGTCATCCATTTTCACCCCTATTCTATTTGACAATTAGCACTTATCAATGCAACCTTTCGAAGAGGAAAAGCTACACTGCATTTCTTTAGAAAACTGAAGAGTAGATTAACAAAATCATCCCCAACTTTTGCATAACAAACCATCTTCCTAGATTTAGTAACCATAAGCTTAACAATAAATGATGCAAATCAACACTTGCATTGGGATTGACATGTAATTTTCTTGTGCAAACTTACAACTTTTTTTGGTACTATACTATACCATCTTAGTAATTAACATGTAAAGGTGCAAAAACAGGTGCTCTATATCTATATATATGGAGTTGGAATATATGTCATCTGTTACAAGTAAATATAGTGTGTTGACTTATAAACACTTCTCCCATCCTCCTCATGTACATGTACAGTGTAGGCTTTATTAAGCTAATCAGCCTTTCCTGCCAAATACAAATCTCCTTCTTGGCCAAGTGAAAACATGCCGAAGATTCTATTTTATTAATTTTCAGCATAAATGAACACTTAGATTAGATCGGTGTAAACATGTACTGTGTGGAAAATGAGGTCGTCTTATGTGTAGATAAGGTGTAAATTTTAAACTATACATTTTTTTTTAATAAAAAACCAAACCAAAACCGTTTGAAACCACACCGAACTGAACCAAATAGTTTGATTTCATTTCGGTTTTGGCGCGTGTTAAACCGCATAGAACTTCACCACAAAATGTTTCGATTTCGATTGCGGTTTTACTCAAAACCACACTGAACCAAACCGTGTCCATCTTCAAGCATAACTTGACCATAAAAAAAAAAACTTAGAGACCTAGTGGTTGTGCAATGCAAATGTTTCGGTTGCACGGAATCACACTAATCAACTCAAAATAATTCATTAAGTTGCTGGAGAGTTACTTGGAACATCCCATGGTTAAGGATGAGCATCCTCTTTGGATTCTATTTGTGAGGATTTCAGGGATCACTTCATCATGTTCGTTCATCATACATCGTGTAATCATTTTTCGTAAAGTAATGTTTGTGTTCAATTTTAAACAAAAAAAATTCAAAATGATATCTGATTACAGAATGTTAAATGAACGAACACGATAAAGTAATCTCTAAAATCCACATCTGAATAGGATCCTATTCCCATGGTTAATACTTCTACAAAAATATGTCTCTCCAATATGTCTATGTTTTACAACCAACTACTCTATTTGACATCAAAACTACTTTTATATAATTCAAAATTATTTGGTTGGTTGCCTATCAAACAACAAACTTTTTCTTATAAGTTATATAACTGCAATACTGAAAAGTAGTACTACTATAAAAAAAAATTATTGATAAATAAAAGCGGTTTATAAATAGCAAATTCCAAACAAAACCATTAAAATATTTTCAACCTTTCAAATAGGAAAGTGAGTGCTCTAGAGCGCCCATGCCTATATATACAAATATATAATTGGCGAAGGCGTTGTAATATTTCATCCCATATAAACAAATACTCACTTTGTTTTCATTCCCAACCATCCCCCTCCCTCACTTGCTCAGAAGATCATCATTATTCTATCTCTGAGATCATAGAGAGAGAGAGAGAGAGAGAGAGAGAGAGAGAGAGAGATGGAAGAGACAAAGTCGAGATTCAATAGGATTTGTGTTTTTTGTGGTAGCAGTTCAGGGAAGAAAGCCAGCTACCAAGAAGCTGCTGTTGAACTTGGGAAGGAGCTGGTAATCAACGTTCGATTCATTTTTATATTTTCTCTTTCAATCTCTCTCTTTTTGTTCTTATATATTCATCCTTTTGGGTTCCAAAATTCCCACATAAATTGGAACAGTTCATCGCCAAAAGATCTATGTTTCAGAGAAAGTGTTTAATCGTATATATGTGCATACGTACCAAATTGATCTATTTCGGTTTTCTGCGAATGATTCTACTCCTGGGATTCAGAGAAGCCATATTTATCTTCTTTGACTTTCATAGGAATTTGGATTTAATGCATTGATACATTGTTTCCATTTTTGGCTAATTTAATTTCCTGAAACAATGTTTGCGGTCAATTCCTAGTCTTCCAATTTTTAAATTTTCTCCTATTTTGGTTTGCTTCTATGGAAGCTTGTAAAAAGAAGAATAGAAGCAACCACGAGGATGGTGCTTCGAACTTGGGTGCAGAGCGAAAGCTCACTGCACTAGCCAATTTGTCCAAGTTTTCTCAAGTAGTGTGGAGGTGTGAAGGGTCGTCTTGCAACCAAACAAGCCTTCAACGTGGGCTTATCATTGTTCAAGACCTAGAGCTAGCTAGCATTGAGCCTGATTAGGGTTTATGTTTGGCGTGAGAGAGAGGGAGGGGGGGAGGGAGGAAGGAGAGGGTGCTAGCTGTAAACTGGCTGTCAGTTAAGCAGCTTTCTTGCATGATCTGAGTTTTGATTTTAATTAAACCCTTTTATTTTTATAAGATAAATTAGTTTTGCAGCAGTAGTACTGGCCTCTATGTGGTTTTTATTAATTCTCTCCAGGCGGCCAGGAGGGAACCAAACGTGCTCTCTCGGTATCATGATCCTTTTAAGCGTGTTCACAAGCTTCCATGACTGAACCTCATCTCCATGATTTTTGTTTATGGGGTTCCATGACAAGAAATTTAATACCTATTTTTTGTAATAATAATAATTAATGTTCACACAGTAGCCTCTTTTTACCTAGCTAGGGTTTTTATTCATTCATTCATTCCATCCACTGAAACATACTATTATTATTTGCTGCCATTCTACTTCAAGTTTGTTTCAATCAAATCATACTCCATTTTATATTTTATGGGAACTGGGTTTCTAACACGTTGATGGGTTTTGAATTTCGATGTGTTTGGAAGGTGGAGAGAAGGATTGATCTGGTCTATGGTGGTGGAAGCGTGGGATTGATGGGTCTTGTTTCTCAGGCAGTTCATGATGGGGGGCGCCATGTCCTAGGGTTTGTAGCGCTCTCTCTCTCTCTCTCTCTCTCTCTCATATACACACCACACGCATAAGTTACCCTTATGAAATGATTGGCCAAATTGGGTTGCATTCTTATTTTTTATTGAACCATACCATGCAAATTAATCCCTATTATCTATTAATTTACTGGGTTCACAAAGGCAGACAACATAGAATTCTAGGATCAAATGCAACCCCATATTTTATAATGGAATTTGTGCATTCCCTTCTTCCATTTTTTTTTTATTGGGACAAAAAGGTTCACATATTTATGCAAAATTACCGTGTCTTCTGGGTATTGTAAACATGGTTTCAAACCGCTTTATGTGATCTACAGTAAATTCTAAAAGTTAACCTCCTTTAAATAGAGGCAGGTTCTCTACCCTTCCACTTCTCATATCTTACCGTGTTTTTCTGTTTGTGTGGTCACAGTTAAGTCACGTCAACATTTTATATTACTATTTCTTTTTGTCTTATTATTTCTATAAAAAAAATAATATAAAAAATTGACGTGACCATATAAAACAAGAGGGCATGGGAAGACATAAAAAGTGGGAGGGCAGAGAATCTGCCTCCCCTTTAAATTCTTACAATGTCAGTTCCCTCTCTGGAACTTCCAGTTAGAAAGATTTACAGTAATGGAAAAGATAATTAGTAAAATTATGGAGACTTTTAGAGAAGGACTGGCATTGCATTTTGTAAAAAGCCTGCTTTCCCTGTAATGTAAGAGCTCTTGGTCTCGTAAAAGTTTAAACACGTTCTGTGAAACACAACTGCTGCAAATTAGCATGGTCAATGCCCCTTGTTAGGTCGAAGGGATGTCAGCAAATTGCTAAATCTTTGATCAATTAAATATTCAGGTATATGCCTACTAGGCCATGGGGAACTTTTAGTAAATTCATTTGTTAATATATATTACCGGTGAAAATTTTCATTTCATTTTGTTTTTTTATTATGAAGTGGAATTAGTTTTTAAATTTTTTTAAAAATAAATCTGTTATGAAAATTGGAATAATGATAAAGTGGTTTCTTCTAACGTGGGAATACTTTTTATTTTTATTTTATTTTAAAATAGTGCATGTTGTACTAAGCTAAGTGTGAGGTTGCTCTAAAAAAACAGAAATTTTTTTGTTCATGTAATTACTAAATTGCCTATGTTTTTTACTTGAGTTCAATTTTGGTGAGGGGGTTAAAATGGTAATTTCATAAAATTTTGATTGATAACCAAAGTTTTATTAATAGGTAGTGTGGACATAGTGGTTTGCTGATAAATGTTCGTGGTGTTTTTGCAGTGTTATTCCGAGGACATTAATGCCTAGAGAGGTACATTTAAAGGCTTAATGTGCTGATTTTAAGTGACACATTTACCGATCTCTAAATGATTAATTAATAATGTGATCTGATTAAATTGTTGTAGATAACTGGTGAAACTGTTGGAGAAGTGAGAACTGTCTCAGATATGCACCAAAGGAAAGCCGAGATGGCCCGTCAAGCTGATGCTTTCATTGCCCTCCCTGGTATGGTTTTAACCCATGAATCGGACGTCACTTATGAAATTATTATTGTTGTCGAATGTTAAAGTTAGCGTGAATAGCTGATTCTTAACTGTTACATATGTGGTATTTACTCTTGATTTACACGCATCGAGGGTTGAAAGCCATCCATGTGGATGTGAAGTTCTGAACCATTATCCAAATCAACTCTCAATTGTTTTTGTAAGACCCTTTAATTGAAATTATTATGTTCAGGTGGCTATGGTACCCTAGAAGAATTGCTGGAAGTCATTACCTGGGCTCAACTTGGAATCCACCGGAAACCTGTAAGAAGAACTAAATTTATCCACCTCGTGATTCCAAACTTTACATGGAAGCAAGCCCTCACATGATTACATGTCGTATGTTTGTTCAAATGTAGTTGTGTTCTTGTAGATAACTGTTAATGTCCCCAAATTTTCTACAAAACCCTAATTAACAATCAATTTCTTCACATTATAGAATATTTTATTGTGTCCCTGTCTCTATGAATTAATAGGTCTATCATATGCCTACAATTTGTAAATATTTCATGTTTCTTAAGTACACGATTCTCTCTCTTTCATTTCATAATTCCATACAAGTATTAGTTAGCAACGTTGACGGGGAGATGATATTTGTGATGATGTGAGTCAATCTTATTGAGTGGTATGGATGTATGAGAAAGCTTCATATAACAGAGAATCAATGCATGTGGTACTTAATTCTAATTCACATGGAAAAACAACATAAGTTAGGTGGTTGATTATTTGGAGGATCTCCGTTTGAATGGGAGAAATCTTCTCAAATTTAATTTTTTAAGGTTTAAACAAGGTGAGGTTGTTGGTCAAACGAAGGGTGTTGTTGGTCACAAGACAATGAGGACATATGAACGACATACATATAATATGGAGATTAAATGGGTGTTTGAAGTTGATATTATTAATAAATTGATTGATTAATTAAATAATTTAGTTAGAATTACCTGTTTATTGTAGGTGGGGCTTTTGAATGTGGACGGTTACTACAATTCGTTGTTGTCTTTCATTGATAAGGCCGTTGATGAAGGCTTTGTTTCTCCTACTGCTCGGCACATTATCGTGTCTGCTCCAACTGCCAAGCAATTGGTCAGACAACTGGAGGTAATGCTTCGTGCCTATTTTCATCATATCATGTGCATCACAGAATAGAATATGATCATCAAGATGAATAATTAACGGACCGGATCGATGTGGTACGGTCTGGGGACACTCTCAAGTCCCTGAGGTGTTCAAACTATGCCTCAATGATGCTCATAGATTCCCATTGATCCTATATGCATGTGCTTAAGTTTTGGTAATACAAGGATGGTCTGGACAGAGTAGACTTTAAGCTTAGATTTTTATATAACCAAAAATGAAGAAATTTCCTTTGTATAATATGGATGCAACTCTCTTAATTGAGAACAAATAAATAAGAGAACCTTTTTCTTACATTGTATAGCATCATGCCGAATAATTAAGCATCGTTATGGGTTGGTCCGGTTCAATCTGGTCAAGAACTTTGGGTCCGTCCAAACTCCATCTGGCTAACCTTGGCGACAATGCTGGGTTGGGGGAAAGGCGTCCTTGTCCCCGGTTGCATACAAGTGGATTTCAACTAAGTTTGCTATTCTCAGTACCTAGGTTTAGATTTGTTTGAAGATTTACCTAGGATTTCTAGGTCGGATTTGTTGCGAAGTTTTTGTTGTTGTACTTTAGCCTTCCATGTTACGAAAAGTAAATGTGTATTTTCATATAATTTCATCAGGGAAGATTAGTACGAATTAACCCTTTTTGTTATTTAACTACACCGTAATTTACAAATTTACTGAACGATCTGGTTAATGATATGTTTTGGTTTTTTGGCCTCAGGAATATGTACCAGAGCACGATGAAATAACATCAAAGTTGGTGTGGGAGGAGGTGGACAGAATAAGTTATGTGTCTGACCCCGGAGTAGCCACATGAAGTGTTGCTTGACTGATCATGCAAAAGCCCTCCTTTTTTTGCGTTTTGGGTTTCACAGTATATACGGTTAATATATGGTACGACACCGTACAGCAGCAGCAGCAGCAGCAGAGGAACTTTGGGTTTTTTGTTTTTGTAGCTGAAGCCAGAAACTCTCTCAAGGTCCTCTTATAATATATATTTTGTTGGAAGGTTAAAAAAAAAAAATTGAAAATGGTGTAGGAAATGCATTGCCCTTTTTGTAAAACTGTGAGGGAATCAATTCAAGTTTCTTCTTGGCTGGCTGCATGGTTGTTATACTGTGTCGATTCTTTAATTTGCGACGATGTCTTCTGGACATGTATAGTTTCTACTTAAAATTTGTGAGGAAAATGTTAGGATATTATACGAAAAGATGTATTGCAATAGGAAATGATATTCCATTTCAGCTTCTGTACTCTCAGAAAATGTCCATGTGTAAGTTATAACAACTATATATGATATATTCATTTTTTTTTATTCCGAAAAAGGATACTTAAATTGAAGTCTCGAGTTTGATATTCATAATTTGTCAGGGTCTTTTTATAACCAACGATCTCTGAGCTATTTGAAGACTTGTCATCTGGTCCTCAAACTTCAATTATATTTTTGACATATGATAGCATTAGTTAGTTAAATTGTTAGGATAGATGAATTGATGGAATCAAATTCGCACAAAGGTGCATAAATATAATTATTTTTCACCACTGTGGTAAAGCATCAGATTTCTCAAACTCCAAATATAGATATTGTTGTTTTTGGAGTTGACATGAGTATATGGAACACATCCTTTCTTGGCACAATAGGCCGAATAACTATTTTTATTTTCAGTATGTATTCATGAGCTTATAGTTCAGTTATTTAGGAGCGTTCACTCTTCCAACTTAGTTGACAGATTACGTACGGAAAAAAATTAAAAGATTACTGGACCGATTACGTATGAAAAATGGGTTCATGTTTCATGCAGATATAACATATTAAACAAGCAGACTTGTTATAGCAGCTAAAGCAACATGACAACTGAGTTGACAGAAGACCACTTCACCAATTCACTATTTTTGGTTTTAATTTACAACAAAGAGAAAGCATATGTTAGTTAGGCTTATAATTTTATAGTTAGCACCAATTAATGGTTGTGTTTGCTGCGTTAAGGTTTCAATAAAATTAAAAATAGTTTGTCATGAAACTTGAGGACAGCTTGTTGATTGAGTTCTAAAAGCCAGGTGGTGTCAGCATGTGAGGCACATGTAGATTATTAATCTCCAAATTGCACTTGATTAAGCACTCGATTAAGGATTTAAGTTAGGTATAGATCTAATGAATCAGAATAAGATCCTCACCCTCAAAGGTCAACTCAAATAGTCAATAAATCAAAGGCTTCTCTTGTTGTTGGGTGGCATATAGCTTCGTATGTAGGTTATCTGCATATCTTTTGCTCAAGTTTTAGATATTTTGGTGGCTTTTAAATTTCTAAGACAATGGAAAATTACCAAAAAGAATTAAGGGGGAAAATGCGAAAATGTTCATTTTATTTTATAAAAAGAATGTCAAAAATGTAAGTTGCTTGCTTATGTGCTAATTCAAGGTGTACTTGGTCTTCATAAGAGACTTGATTTTTTTTTTTCTAGTTGAATGCACTGCAACATGAATAGGTCAAGAAAAAAAACAAGTTAACACCCTTTATGAGTACAAACTCATATAATTTAACATAACTATAGAGAGATTTGATTAATGCTTGGTTCGTACCAATTAACGATTGTCAGTCATTTGCGCATGGGTGCGTAGACGATTAAGGTGTGTTAAGTTGTGTTATGATCGTAATTGATCGAGCAGTACAATGCAAGAGGTTTGGGAGTTCGCGTGGACATACCAATCGCCCCAACCTTAGTGATCAGTTGAATAGCTCCAATTGTTGCATTGAGGCAACTTTGAACGTGATTACAAACCCTAATTACAAGTGAGTGTGAGGAAACACTTTCACTATGGCTAGTGCTATTCACACGACTATTTTTACTTTCCACACTCCTTTGTTAATTTTTTGCTATCGGTCTTCTTCAATTCATCTGGTCCAAAAGGCTGCAAATTGATAGGGGTATGTGAGAAGTAAAAATGAGTATGTAGATGGCACTACCCTTTGAGTATATGTAACTGTAAAGATGAAGATGCCAAGTCATAATAAATGTTGTTATTAGTTTGTTATAAGTTTGCTGTAATGTATTCTGTTTTGGTTAGTTAGAGTGTAAATAGTCAAAGATTATATATTAGTGGTTGTATCATTCATTTAAAAATTAATGAGAAATACACTTTTCTTAGTGTTTAAGAAAAACTTTCAGATAAAGTCTTGATTTTCTATATGGTATCAACCGCCTCTTGCCTTCCGGCCTCATCGATCCTCATCGTCTTCGCTTCGCATCTCTAATTTTTTTATTGTTTTCAAGGATTTCATCTCAGCTGCCATGGTTTCTGCTTCTGATTCATCATCTCATCATGAATCGCTTCAAAATCCAGTACCCAATTCCTCTTCTCCAAACCCTAATTTCACAAATTCGTCAAATTCGTATGCATCTTTTACAATCAAAACATTGGAAGCATGGTTCCAATCAAGCTCAAACGATCCAACTATCTTCTATGGCGTGCACTGTTTGGACCGATTCTCTGCCGTTACAAGCTTTTTGGAATCGTTGATGGAACTGAGTTGTGTCCACCGCCTTTTCTCCCAAATCGCTCCATCAATCCTGCCCTTGAGCTCTGGTATGAGAAAGATCATAATCTTCTTATCTAGTTGAATTCTACACTTTCTAAAGATGTCCTTCCCTTTACCGTTAGTGTATTTTCTTCTTGCAATCTCTGGATCAAGCTAGAGCAACATTTTGGTGGTGTTTCTGATGCTTATATTCACCAGCTTCAATCTCGTCTCCAAGCCATACAGAAAGGCTTTCAATCTGTGTTAGATTATCTGCAATAGTTGAAAGAAATCTCTGATTCTCTCTCTACTGCTGGAGCATCGATCTCCGATCGCGATTTAATAGTGGCAACACTGGCTGGTTTACCAGATGAGTTCGAATCGTTCATTGATTCACTCATGTTTTGCCTTTCATCCACTTCTTTAAATGAACTACTTGGACTTTTTCTCACAAAAAAACTCTTCATGTCTCGTCGCAAGAAGATCTCATCCAATACAGAACCGTTTCAGGCGTTCTCTGTGCAGTCACAAGCACCTCTACTTCCCACTCCACCGCCTCAAGCATTTGCCGCTTATAATCAATTCTCACATCCAAATTCTTCTCAATTTCCCTTTAATCGTGGAAGAAACAACAATTGAGGATATCAATTCAACAACAACAATTGTTTCCATCACAATCGTGGTTCTCGGGGTAATTTTCGTGGAAATTCTTCAAATTAAGGTCAGAATCAAGGGTTTTGTGGTTTTAATTTCTCTGGAAATTATATCATCTGTCAGATTTGTGGTTCAACAAGCCATGAAGCCATTAATTGCTTCGATCGCATGAATCCTAACATTCCTGGAAGAATTCCACCTACAAAACTTGCGACCATGTGTGCTCATTACAACTCCAAACCATCTTCATCTTGGCTCATTGATTCTAGCACCACTTCCCACATCACAAATGACATTGCCAACATCAACTCACTAACACCATACACTGGAGAGGACAAAGTCTATATTGGTGATGGTAAAGGTCTGTCCATACACCATATCGGTTCTTCTTCATTGCATACTTCTTATGCTGCCTTTAAATTGCGCAATGTTCTTCATGTTCCAAAAATGAAGCATAATATGTTGTATGCTTATCAGTTTCTTAAGGATAACTATTGTGCATTAACTCTTGATTCTGATGGATCCATTGTAAATGATCGTTCTACGGGGAAGATGCTTTTGTAGGGTCCAGTTAATGATGGTTTTTATCGTTTGCAAAGCTCTTCTCCCCTTGGTTTATCATATTCCAGCTCTTCTCATGCTCTTGTAAGTGTTCCAGCTCCTCTCAGGCTCTGGCATAGTAGGTTAGGCTATCCCTCTTCTTCTATGTTTCGTACACTACTATCTACTAATAAACTTGCAGTCAAAGGAACATCAACTGTGGATTTCTTTTGCTCTGACTATGCTATAGCAAAGAATCACAAGTTACCTTTTGGTTCTTCCACTTCATCAACTACTCATAGCTTAGAATTGTTACATTGTGACTTGTGGGGTCCTGCTCCTGTAACTTCAGTGAGTGGATTTAAGTACTATCTACACATAGTTGATGATTTTAGCAAGTATAGTTGACTCTTTCCTTTAAATGTCAAATCTTAAGTGTATTCTACTTTTGTAATCTTCAAAAACCATTTAGAAAACAAAAATGGCAATAAAATCAAAACTATACATTCTGATTCCGAGGATGAGTTTACCAATGTATCTTTTAAATCTTATCTTCATACTTATGGAATTTTTCATCAATTGAGTGGTCCACACACACCATAACAAAATGGTTGTGTAGAAAGGAAACATCACCATCTAGTTAAGTCAGCTAGAACTCTATTAGTTCAATCACGTATTCCTCATCAATACTGGGTTGAAGCCTTCACTACTGCACTATATCTTATTAACAAATTGCCACACTCTGGGATTACACAATCACCTTGGGAGTTATTATGTCATACTATTCCAGATTACTCCAAGCTCAAGGTCTTTGGTTGTCTGTGTTTTCATGATTAAAGTCTTATGTGTTATCCAAGCTTGATGGAAAAAGTAAAAGTTGTGTTTTCTTGGGATATAGCTTACATCATAAGGTATATAGATGTTTGGATACAAAAACACAAATGGCTTATATTTCAAGACATGTAGTCTTTAATGAGACTACATTTCCTTTTCATGGTTTTCATCACCCTGTGTCTTCTGTTCCCTCTTCTTTGTCTCAGAATATTGATTTGGAGTTTTCTCTACCCTCATCTATTTCCTCTCCTGCTCAACCTAGTACTTCAACAACTACTACTCCAGTTTGTATTGTACCTACCTCACATGCTTCACTTTTACCAAGTGACACCACAGACTCCAATCACTTTTCTGAGCAGCAGGTTCCACATTTGCAGCAGGTTAAAAATGTACATCCCATGATCACAAGGTCTAAAAATGGTATTTCCAAACCAAAGGCATTTAGTGCAACTAAACACCCTCTTCATTCTTCCATTGAAGTGATTCCTACTACATATCTGCAAGCTTCAAAATCTGCAAATTAGAGATTGGCAATGCAAAATGAGTTCAATGCACTTTAATCTACAGGTACTTGGATTCTTGTCCCTCCTATATCCTTTAAGAATATTGTTGGTTGTAAATAGGTATTCAAACTTAAGAAAAACCCTGATGGCTCCATTGAAAGATACAAAGTCAAGCTTGTTGCCAAAGACTTTCATCAAAAGGAAGGTTTAGATTATCAAGAAACTTTTAGCCCTGTCGCTAAACCTGTCACCATCAGAATATTGTTAACTTTTGTTATTCAATTTAACTGGTTTCTTAGTCAGTTAGATATTAGCAATGTTTTTCTTCATGGGGATTTGAAAGAAGAAGTGTTCATCATACAACCTCCTAGGTTTCAAGATCCATCTCTTCCTAATCATGTGTGTAAGCTAAAGAAATCCTTATATGGTCTTAAACAAGCCATTATAACCTGGTTTGATAAGTTGTTTTAGGCTCTTAAATCTCTTGGCTTTACTTAATCATCTTCAAATGCTTCTCTGTTTGTTCTTAAATTCCCAACCTTGGTCATTGTACTGGTTTATGTTGACGATACTCTCATTAGTTGTCCCAATACTTCTCTCTGCAAACAACTCATTCAACAGTTGAGTACCCTATTTCCAGTCAAAGACTTGGGACCCTTACATTATTTTTTTGGTTTGGAAGTTCACAGAACCAAAGATAGTATTTTTCTACATCAAGGCAAGTATTTACTTGATCTTTTACAAAAGACCAATATGGATGGAGCTAAACCCTGTTGTACACCCCTTAGTTTTACAAAATTGGATCATAATGGTGAACTGTTACCTAATCCCACTGAATATCGATCTATAGTTAGTGGCCTACAATACCTTACCTAAACCAGACCTAATATTTCATTTGTTGTAAAGCAAGTGTGTCAGTTTATGCATGCACCAACAGTTACACATATGCAAGCAGCAAAGGGAATTTTAAGATTTCTCAAAGGCACTATCTCTCAGGGTATTCTTTTTAAACAAAGTCATTTACATCTTTCTGCTTACTCAGATGCAGATTAGGCTGGCTGCACATTTGATAGAAGACCTACTAATGGTTTTTGTCCATTTTTAGGTTCTAACCTGATCAGCTGGTGTGCAAAGAAACAAACAATAGTGGCTTGTTCATCCACTGAGGCATAATATTGATCTTTGGCTCAAATTGCAGCAGAGATTACTTGGATATGCAAAGTATTGAAAGATTTTCCCATGACTGCTAAACCCACCCTCTGGTGTGTGATAACATTTCAGCCATATATCTTGCTTCTAATCCTATTTTTCATGCTCGCACTAAGCATGTTGAAATAGATTATCACTATATCCGGGAATTGGTTCTTGCCAAATTAATCAAAGTTCAATATGTGTGTAGCCAAGATCAGATTGTTGATATTCATACAAAGTCTTTTTCCAAAAATAGGTTTCAGTTTCTACAATCCAAACTCTCACTTGGAACTCTCAATTCTTCCAAGTTTGGCTTGAGGGAGTGTAAAGATGAAGATGCCAAGTCATAACAAATGTTGTTATTAGTTTGTTTTAAGTTTGTTGTAATGTATTTTGTTTTGGTTAGTTAGAGTGTAAATAGTCAAAGACTATATATTAGTGGTTGTATCCTTCATTTAAAAATTAATGAGAAATATACTTTTCTTAGTGTTTAAGAAAAGCGTTCAGAGAAAATCTTGAGTTTCTATAAACTGTTCTTCTTTTCTAATGGTGGGAATCTTGTGGCAACTTACGACGTAGCTCATATTGAGTGAACCTCATAATTCCTTGTATTTGTGTGATTAGTTTACTTTTGTGATTCTTCGCGTTTAGGGAATCTAGAACTTGATATCATAACAACGCATACAAGGAAAATTCAAAATCCTAATCATCACAGCAGCTGAAAATTTCTCTACTGACCTCAACTCTGGTCGAACAAATTCTACGTCCGAGCTAAAGTTTCGGATTCAAACTCAGAACTTCAAATGCATGGATAAACGCTCTTAACTACTTAAACTACTAATTCCAATTACAGCCGGTCTAAAATATACAGTTAAACCTTTCTTTTTTGGTCTGAAGTTTATAGCCTACAAATACAAACCCTTGTCGACATTTGGTCTTAATATGATCATATGACTGAAGTAATACACACCAAACTACTCTCCTTGGAAACATTTGATAGAACTGTTGATTTATATAAAAAAAACCATATATGATTTCTGCCCAAAGCTGTCTTTTTAGTGTTTGGGGAACTAAACTGACAAAAGCGATATTCTAATCTACTCTAATTTGCAAGGAAGGAGATTCAAACTTTGGGTTGTCAGGGAGTGTGCGTGCACAAACCTAACCAACTGGCCTAGTCCGCCTCTGCTGGGAACCAAATTTAAGGTAATTTGGCATAGTACGAGTTGCTGCTGTTTTGGGTAAGCTGTAGTGAGTACCTCTAAAAGTTTGCAGGGCTGTCATCCAATTGCTTCTCATCTTCTATATCAACCTCTAAAATTTCCTGAGATCGAACCAGAACTAGATTTTCATCAGCGAAAGAATAAGACAGTAATTTTTCCAAGTGTAAAAATTCAAGCAATTCTGATCAGTTGGGGTTAATTAACTCACAGGGATCCTCTGCTTGAGATAATTGGCCAGTCTAGCCAGAACCACGCTCCGTTCGTGCCAAAACCGGCCCTTCAGACTGATCTTCACAAAGGGTCCGTCAAGTTCAGCGAGGTCTACTTGTCCTGCAAGTCATCTCCTTATCTTAACTGATTTCCCACCACCAGAAACTAAACAACATAACTGACTCAAAAAACATAAAAGATAAGTAAGTTCAACCTGTCATGCCAACTGAAATGTCGAAGAGCTGCCCGAATTCAACCCTTGCATCGGCTAAGACCTGTCGAATGTTGTCTTCCGTTAGATCGAGAGGCTGCGAAGGCTGAACCGTTGCTGCTGCCAATATTGTTGAAAATTTCGTGCTAGTTTTGGTTCCCAGTGTTGCTGGGAACGTGGAGATCCTTAGCCTTGGCCTTTGTGTGTGGTTGTGGTTGGCTGTTTTCAGGATCTGGGTTTTGGAGATTTGATGACAGGTAATGGGAAGGGTTAGTGTTGAAGAATGCAGAACTCCTTCCATTCCAAAAGCTTCTCCTTCAATTTGCCTTCTAAAGACGAGAAGCTACAATGATTGGTAGAGAAATGGATAATGGCCACTTATCTTTAGTGGATAGAATTTACTTGCTCAAAAGCCTCTAGCTTGCTGCTCTACTAAGCAGTCATGTGAGATTTCACCTTCATTTTTAAGCACACTGTGAGATTCGTCAAAAGTTCAGACTCCACCAAAAGTCATAAATTCGAATTTCGCGTGCTGTGTAACTGAGGTATTGAAACCAAGGTGAGGTTGAAACAACGCAAAACCCAATTGTCAAATGAATCCCACGTCAGAGAACTAAGAAATCTTACATGTGCTTATAAAGAGTTCAGTTATTCGTATTTGCCATTTGGCTTCATGGCGGAACCCTATACTAAACTAACTACTTGAGTACTCAAATTGCATAACGATAATAAAAGTTGCGGGTTGATCTTATTCATTGACTATTTAGCTTGTATTATCTTGTCCTCACTTCAAATTCTGAATAAGATGACGATTTGAAGATTAGTCGGACCGAACCGACCCTTGCCCGGAAAAAAGAAGTGAAACAGAACCGGGACGATGATCATTCTCTCCATCTTACACGTTTCTGATCAGATAAAATTACATAGGCTCAGCCTGTTTCCATAACAAAATAGAGAGTGACAACAATGAAATTGTATGCTACTTGAACATGCTGAAAATCGGGCAAGTCCCATTGATTGGGGTTTATTGTGACATGCTGATGCTCAAAATTACCAAGGATTGGAAAAAGAGGTTACACGAATACAAAACTCGTTTACACGTCCTATTTGAGTCCGACATGGACATGCAGTGTACTAGCTCTATATTGCGGAGAAGTACTCTTTGCTGCCCTTGGGGTCTGGCTTCATGGACTTCTCCCCGGGCTTCCACCCTGCAGGGCAAACTTCATCGGGATTGTCCTGCACGTACTGCAAGGCCTGCAGGATCCAACCCAAGCCAAGAAAGGAAGAAAAAAAAAACGATTATAAAATGTAATAAGAAACATGATGACGAAATTCTTAGCTATACAACAGATCTTGGAAACGAAAACATCCCATTTCTATTTTGGACTTGATGAATATGTTTACCTGGAGCGTTCTCTTAGTCTCATCCACACTACGGCCAATGGCAAGATTGTTGATGGTGGAGTGTTGAATAACGCCTTCCTTGTCAATAATGAAGAGTCCTCTCAAAGCGATTCCCTATCACAGAGAAACCAAACATCTAAATAATCCAGAATTCACAGCACTGAGTCTTTCACAAGTTTATCATTCATTAAATTCAGAACCAATTTTCATTATATATCATACCTGATCTGGGATCAGCACACCATACGATTTTGAAATTGACTTGGTGACATCAGAGATCAATGGATAGTTCAAGTCACCAAGACCGCCAGATTTCCTATCGGTTTGGACCCATGCAAGGTGGGAAAACTACCAAAAAAAAAAAAAAGACAGCATAAGGCCAACGTGGTTCCATCTTACCAATCTAAGGAAGAGCAATTTTAAAACTATTTTACATCAAAGGAACAAGTCAGATGTACATAAGCAAAAGAATCACAGAAAAAAATACGTAGATTCACATCATTCATTGGCCATTAACAAGAACACAACTTTCTGACATCACCAATCTTATTAACTCCTTTTGGTTAACCTCCATATAGGATTCTAGGTGATTTTAACTTAAGACGTGATACAGAACCGAACACAATGGCGTTCTAGGATTCATATAGCTAACCCCCTTAGTGGGAAAAGGCTTTGTTGTTGTTGTTGAATATCCTCATTGTCTATTGTGTGTACTTTCTCCACCAACAATGGGAATTAACCTTTTGGCTCCCACATGCATTGTCTGCAACCCATACCATGGGTCCAATTTCATGTCGAAGTCAAAAATCCCAAAGCATAAGATCGATATTTTTAGAACTCACGATACGGGACATAATTGTTTACTCAATAAAGGAACAAAGCATGCATATAGTTCAAGGTGCAACTTAGCATACTAACGCGTGTGCATATGCAGCTATTGACCTTTGCAAAAGAACAAGGCTACAACATGTCTAGGCCGAATATTGACTTTTTCGTGGTATATCTAGGCAGAACATTGACCTTTTTATGGTATGTCTGGCAGATTGTGGTATTGAAGATAGCGAGGAGCAGGGCAACTTACCACACTGTCAACTGAAACACCCAAGATTTCTGTGTTGAGCTCCGCAAACTCTGCGTGACGGTCACTGAAAGCGGTGATTTCTGCAAGATGGGTTCACAAATTTTGAACAAAGCAATCCGATTCAGTTAGATTCATTCAGCATCCATTAAAGATTAAAAACTTGTATGAAGAATTGGAGATTGTGAAAACAAACAAACCTGTAGGACAAACAAATGTGAAGTCCAATGGGTAGAAAAAGAGAATCACATACTTCTTCCCAATGTACTCAGAGAGCTTGACCTGAAATCCCACACCAAAGCTTCAGTTGCAATGGAACAATTTCAGACTCGTTTGAGACTACTTTTGCAGAAAGCTCTTTTATTATAAAAGCATTGAAATTTTCACTGAAAGTTCCTAGAAAATCACTTAGAAATGCCTTGAACAAGTATCTGACATATGCTTCTCTAGAAAGCGCTTTTATGACCCAAAACCATTTCAACTTTTTTCCAACAAACCCAGTAAGAAGCGTTTCTGGTTGTAGAAAGCGCTTTTAGTACACTAACAAGCAAATCCTAGACAGACCCGAAAATCGAAATTACAGAATGCGATTGCAGGAAAAAATCAAAAGCTATGAGTTAAATTAAAGATACGACATTGATGAATTCTTGGTCGAAAACAGCCTCGGCTTCGAAATCAGGAGCAACATTTCCAACGAGGGGAAGCTCGCCGGCGGAGGCTTTGACGATGAAGGACTTGCGAGTGTGGGAGCCACCGCGGGGGAGGGAGGCAGAATGGGCGACGCGCGGGAGGCGGAGGCCGTGGATGGATTTGGGGAAGTTTAGGGTTTGGGAGATAGGTTTGGAGAAGGCGGCGACGTGAGGGGTGGATTTGGAGGAGGAGAAAGCGCGGGAGGGGGCGGAGGAGATGAGGGCGGCGGTGGAGGCAGCCATGGTGGTTGTGGAGAGCTCAGCCACTCAAGTCAGTGATGAATAGTGAGTGATGTGGGCTGGGAGGTGTAAGGTGGAGAAAAGGGTTGAGGGTACAGTGTGAGGATAAGTAGTGGGTAGGAGGAAGGGTGGGTTGGTGGGACCTAGGTTTGAACTGAACCGGCCGACCGGCTACAGACATTTGGGGCAACCGGAAATGGGACAAGAGTAAAGGATTTGGTTTGTGGAGTTTGATTTCTTGGTGATCAAATCTAAAGATTGGACACTATTAATAAATTGAGGTTGATCTTGATTGTGATGAAGTCTTGGTTTACTTTTAGGTAGCGGTGGACACAGGATTCGAAACTTAGAGGTTTCAGTATTATTAAAGTATAAGTTTTTAAGATACAAACAAAGCGGAAAACGTTCAAAAGAATTTTCAGTTTATTTACTGAAACATTTCGTCAGCTAAACCATGTTACGTACATGTCACTTGTATCGACACATACAGAAACAATTTGATGAGTGATATTGAAAGAGTTTTTCGAGTGTTGTCGATACAACTTGTCGAGATATGTCTAGCAAACATTACAACAAACACAAAAAAGACTCTTATCAAACATTCAAAGAGTCTTCGAAAGAAGTGTTTTTCAAACCCAAACCACCTTAGTATCAACGTTCATTTGCCAATACTTACAATGAACGTACACAAAAGAAAGATAAACCTCGTACCATATAAGCCTCTCTCCCTAAGCTAGACTCATTTGTGCCTATCTACGATTCTACGGGAATTCTCTAGGCTCGGCTTCTCCGGGCTGGCTTAGAATAGTCTGGACTCGAGTAATATCCATTTTCTTAACCCGGCCCATTTGTGTTAGATTACTGATTTCTCCCTCTATCCCTCACCAATCACAATCCCCACAATGATATTGCTTGGAGCATTTTAAGCCTTATCTTCTCCCTTTCCCCCTGCCCCCCAAACCAACGCTCTTCAGTCTTCCGCCATGACCAGCTGCGCCCAAACACCAACCAACCAACCAAATGCACGAAACCCACTTCCTCTCCACCGCCATCGCCGCCACCAAACAACCCCTTTTCTCCTCCATTCCCAAACCCCAATCCCCCTCCTCCTCTCACCATGACTCCCACTCCTTTCCGCCTCAGAAGAAAAACCCCCACTTCTCAATCATCTCCGCCTCCAAAACGACGGCCTCCCTCAAACCCCCACCAACCACTGCCACCCCCCACTCCGACTTCCAAGAAAAAGTCCTCTACCTCGACTCCATCGGCCTCGACTTCTTCTCCCTAATCAACCACCACCCTCCGATCCTCTCCTCCCCTCTCTCCCACATCAAATCCACCGTCCACTTCCTCCTCACCTCCATTGGCTTCACCTCCCCAGAATTCCGCCGCCTCATCGGCATGTGCCCCGAAATCCTCTCCTTCCGCGTCGCCGAAATCGCCCCAATCCTCACCTTCCTCCTCCGCGAAGCCCACGTCAACGGCTCCGATCTCCGCCGCGTCATCAACCGCCGCCCTAGACTCCTCGCTTGCAGCGTCAAAACCCGCCTCCGCCCCACCCTCTACTTCCTCCAAAGCATTGGTATTTCCCAAGTTAACAAACACACCTCCCTCCTCTCCTGCAGCGTGGAAGACAAGCTCCTGCCCCGAATCGACTACCTCGAAAAAATGGGCTTCTCCCACCGCGACGCGCTGTCGATGTTCCGGCGGTTCCCGCAGCTGTTCTGCTACAGCATCGAGCAGAACTTCGAGCCGAAATTCGATTACTTCGTGGTGGAGATGGGGAGGGGGATGAAGGAGCTGACGGAGTTCCCGCACTACTTCTCATTCAGCTTGGAGAATCGGATTCGGCCGCGGCACCAGCGGTGCGTTGAGAAAGGGGTCTGTTTTCCGCTGCCGATGTTGTTAAAGACGAGTGAGGCAAAGTTTCGCGACCGGTTGGAGATTTGTTGTAATTCTTCCATCCCTTTTAGGAGTTCTCCTTTATGGGGTACAAATTCGGTTGATTGAGAAAATTGAAAATATACAAGGCCAAATTCCAATTTTAACTAATTTACTCGTGCAAATGAGTTTCTCGGAATGCTAATAACAATTTTCATTAAATATCTTATTTAATTTTGGACGAAAGTGCAGAGATTTCTCGGGTTTAGGGGAGGTTTAGAAAATAATTTTGGAGATGTGATTTGTTATACATTGTACAATGATAATAGTGGTATCATAAGGACATGATCATAATGAGAATGTGTTTTTTGGTAGTAGTTACATCAATTGGTTACAAAGTTTGTTCTCATGATTGTTAGTGGTAATAGATTGCATAGTCAACAACATATGGTCTAATATCTTAGTGGATAGTCTGTTAGGTTTCCACTAATACGTCTTAGTTTAGAATTCTCTACTCTCTTAAATTATTGTAATAATTTCGAACCCTCTATTTCTCTTAATAATAATAATTTAAAATAAAAAGTAGCATAATCAACACAAATCATAGTACGGCACAAGTGCTTTAGTGAATCATCTTCAAACTCAACCCTAATAGGATACAAGGACATGTCCTTCGATAAAAAGAGGTCATTATTCCTCTATCAAGAAACTCAGGCTTCTTTTTTTTTTTTTGGTAAAATTTAACTCCAACTTAAATATCAAAGAGTCTTTGCCTCGTACATCACTGATGTAACAAGGTCAAGCCAATTTATTCATTTTTGTTGAACAATGCAATTTCATATTGGAAATTTGAAAGAAAATATTACTACTTATAAATGAATGGCTTCACTATTAATAACAAGATCCTTGACACGATCATTCTTATTGTGAACAAAACCCTGATTTGACTGTTCCAATTGTGAACAAGACTCTGACCTGACAATTCTAATTGACGACGAATCTTCTATTGCTTGAGAAAAAAGAAGGTTGCCAATGTAGAATTGGTTGGTGAATGCAATCTCACATAAAAAACTTGACATTATATTTACTACGTGTTCATGAATGATTCCACTACTAATAACACCCATTTCTTTTGTGATAAAATATAACATCAGCAGGTGGTGATTAGTAGTGGACAGACATCCCGACTCTAAAATCTTAACACTTCTTAATTTCAGAAACATTTAAATAATTTTACGCTCATGTGAAATTCATTTCCCACATTGTTCACTCTTCGTAAATTAGAAGGAGAACAATACAGTATAATTATTTTTGGCACGTGTCATGGACCCAATATTAGTAGCACCAAAGTTATATACGTCCGTTGTGGTTAGCTGAAGTTAGGGTTGGAGGAGATGTGGTGAGAGTCGGTGAGAAACGAGCCGTCAAATAATCAGAGAAAATTGTTTAAAGCCAAATAAAGGCGCGGATCGGCGATTCTCCTTGTATTTTTCGTTTGTTGTCATTTCTTCTAGCACGTTGCAGTTTTGCCCCATAATTTTGGGATAATTCAAAACTGACCATTCAATATATTATTTTTCTAAAGATTCCACGCCGTTTGGTGCTTTTTACTTTTTCTTTTTCATTCCATTGGTATAAATATAAGAACATATTTTGGGATTAGTCCATTTATGTTGGTCTTTTTGGACCTATTTATTTGGGTACTTCAACTAATTTTTATTTTGGGCATCATAAATACATCGAGTGCAAAAATTGTAAAGAGATACAATATCAAATCATAGTTTTTTGTATCCTATCATAGTATAGCTGCTGCTCTTGCATTAATTTGAATTATATCTCTTATGATTCGTGAATTAGAAGATTAAAAATAAGTACGTAAAACATTTCTATGTCTGGTAAAACAACAATAGAATTAGGAAACTTACCCACATGAGTGCATGAACCCGTGAAGGGGGTATTTCATACGTTCGACATGACTTGGAAAGACATTTAATGCATCTTTATATTTTCAAAAATTACTCTGGTTGTAAATTTAATATACCACTTTTGAACATGAAACGTAACGGTCTTACTAAAAACATGTAAGCATTTGATTCCTATTATTGCATTTGCATGAACCAAATGGGGAAGTGAAAAAAAAAAATGGTATTCCCTCGTCTGCATTTTCCAATTATTTCCAAACAATAAAAAGAAAGGTTTTCGCAGGGTCAAAACAGAAATACACAAGTTTCAGGGGTGGAAAATAGGAAAAAAAGTTAACAAATTAATTTTTTTCGCCGTGTTCCCTCCACATCTAGCCGAAACAAAAAATTCCCTCCCTTCCCTCGTTTTCTGCTAGCTCTTCCCTCAACTCCCACAACTCACTTTCCCTCTCTAACCCTCACTTTCTCTCTCTAACCCCCCCTCTCTCTCTCTTTCTCTCTCTACCCCTCTCGGATCCCATTTCGCCTCCCCATAAACCCTAAACCCCCGCCCTCCTCCGCCCTCCCTCAGATTCTCTCCGATTCCCCAAACCCTAAAGATCCACCTCTCTCCTTCTCCGATCGTCTCTCGGCAATCGGAGACCGCCGCTAGTTCGAGCCGGTCGATCCCTCTATGTCCGGCTGCGCTCGAGCTCCCAACCGCCAACCAGCGCCGGCGACGGCGGTCACAGGCGGCGGCGCCCAGATCCTGCCGCCGTTGAGGCGTCACCTCGCGTTCGAGTCCACGAAGCCGCAGCCGTTCCCTCCCGACAATTACCACCGATTCGCCGGCGGTGCTCGCAGAGCTGGAGACCAAGAACCTGAAGCTATTTATGTTCGATCTCCTGTGAGTTGTTGTCATTTCTATGGATATCTGTGTGTTAATCTCACTGCGTTGGTTTGTTTGGGTGAATTGCGTTGTAATTGTTCAAAGGATTGAGGGTAATTCTGGTGATTCTGATTGGTTTTGTTGTTTAGGGTAATTAGAAGATTTGGATTAGCTCATTAATGTTATTTTTGGGTCATAAGCTAATATTCTTCACTTACTACTAAGATAGTGCTTCTTAAGATATTTTGTAATTTGGTTGACTTCTGAAAATATGTATACTTATGTTGTAAATTTGCAAGCTTGGCTAACCAAAATTGCAATTGTTGTAACCGGAAAAAGCCGACAATTGTAAGTCTGGTGCATAATGCAACTTGTCAAGGTGAAGTATTGTGATAAATGTCGGCAATGAGGGGAAGACTGAGAAATGATATGGTGTTGATGTGCATCACACTTAACTGTGTTGCCTAATCTGGAGTGAAGGTACCGTGATTTGAAAGTAGACTTTCAAGTTGTAGCATTTGGCTCCTTTTTAGAATCAATTGTTTCTCGTGGCATGTGTTGGTTTCTTCATTGGGTGTGTAAATTAATATTATAAAAGTGTAATTGGGTATAATGACTAGCGGTTCCATTCTCCGTCCCCCATTTCATCTAGATTGATTTGCAATATTCATCTCGTCGATATATAGTTCATTGTGAAGCATATTTTAACTAGTATGGTTGCGAAGTCGCCATATGCCTAATTTTTAATAAGAATTCTTTAACTTTGCTGGTGTTTTTCAGCAACTTACTCGGAAGGACAACAATGAAGTTGAGTACAGTGATTGGACCTGCAGTCCCGGAAATACTAATATTATTCAGAGTCCCCTTCTGACTCCTCCAATGTCTGCAAAAGGGGGAAGGGTAAACAATAGGTCAAAGGCTTCCAAGGGAGGTAGATCTGGACCTCAGACTCCTGTGTCAAATGTTGGTGAGTCTTCTTGTCTCTTCAGTTTTTGCTTGATCTCTACCATTTTTGGCCTAACTTGAATGAATCACTAAGATGAGCTTCAGATGCAGCTGTCCACGTGAAAGAGGTTGCATAGCATTGTTGATAATAACAAAGTCTTCTTTCTCCCTGGATAAATAAAAATAGAATTCTCAACTATCTTGTTCCATACATACTAAGAATCTTATTGGATAGCTTCTGTCAACATGCAGGTTCCCCGTCTACTCCAGCCGGAAGCTGTCGTTATGACAGTTCCTTGGGTAATCTGAGCATGAGTTTTCTTCTCTTTGACATTTGTGGTTTTTAGAGTTCACAAGGCTGCCATATGGTCACTTGGAGATAACTGTGCTCAAATTTTCCAGGTCTGTTGACAAAAAAGTTCATCAATTTGATTAAGCGTGCAGAGGATGGAATTCTTGATCTAAACAAAGCAGCAGAAACTTTGGAGGTAATCATTTTCTGTCAGAGTTTATATACATACACTAACACAAATTATCTGTATTTGGTGGTGTGCTGATTGATGGTTTTACAAATGACACAGGTTCAGAAGAGGCGGATATATGACATTACAAATGTTTTGGAAGGAATAGGTCTCATTGAAAAGAAGCTGAAGAACAGGATACGTTGGAAGTAATCTTTGATAGTTTATTCTTAAATTTCCTTTAATTTTCAACTTCTAATAAGATTTGGAACACATGGAAACTTACTCAAGGATGCGTTAAATGATTGATTAGGGGATTTGATGCTTCAATGCCAGGAGAGTTGGATGGTGATCTCTCTATATTACAGGTATTTCAATGTTGCAAGTTCTTGTAATGCAAAGGTCAGGAACTTATTTATTTATTAATTTTATTGTCCTTTGAATTGTCATGAGTATGGATTGTCTGTAGTACATAAATTGCTGAACTCATGTTCACATAATGTTTCTTTATTTAGAGATTAACAATTTCATCTGTCTAGATTGCTATGAAAAGCATGGTGTTAAAAAATACTTTGACAATTTAGTAGCTTCATGAAGGAAGATAAAAGCCTAAGTTGTGGTATATCCTGCAGGCAGAAGTTGAAAATCTATCCTTACAAGAGCGCAGATTAGATGACCGAATAAGGTATATGCGATTAATTTTCTTTTTGGACTTCAATGTCACTGTTTTGAAACTATTGAAAAGTGTTGATGCCTTCACCCTTGTGCAGAGAGATGCAAGAAAAGTTGAGGGATTTGAGCGAAGATGAAAACAACCAAAAGTAATGTCTAGTCCATTAACCTTTTCAGATAATTTTTGTCTTTCTTCTTTATGTTTATATTGTCAATCACTTGCTTCTATGTATACAAATACGTTCTTATCTTCAACTCTTACTCTAGGTGGCTTTTTGTGACTGAAGATGACATTAAAGGCCTACCTTGCTTCCACGTGTGTTCCATGCATCACTTCTAACACTGATTTCTACGATGGCTTAGTGTTTTCCATTATGTTAATTGCGCCTTTTCTTTTCCAGAATGAAACCCTGATAGCAATCAAAGCTCCACATGGAACCACCTTGGAAGTCCCAGATCCTGATGAAGTAAGTCAAACATAAACTTCTCTTAGAAGGTACATGTTTTATATGCATTCTCTCTTTAATTAATATTGAATTCTTCTTCAATATGCACCAGGCTGTTGACTATCCACGGAGGAGATACAGGATAATACTTAGAAGCACAATGGGACCCATTGATGTCTACCTTGTCAGGTGTTGTTTCCTTTTTCTTCTTTTGTGAACGAAATATCTTTATACATTTGAGTAGGGTACTCTCCCTTTTTGTTTTGCATGTTTAGTGGATTATTGATGATAAGAATATCTGTGTTGATTTGTATTTATTTACTTGTTTATTGATTTGTGTGTATTATTTGGTGTTTAGTCAATTTGAGGAAAAGTTTGAGGATGTGCATGGAGCTGAGCCACCTGTGAGCTTCCCAATGGCTTCTGTTTCTGGGTCCAGTGAACACCCAATAACAGAAGTGGTAACTGTTGAAAGCAGTGGGAAGGAAATTGAGCCTTGGCCGCAACAGGCTCATCACCTGTGCTCTGATTTAAACGCTTCTCAGGAGTTTGCTGGGGGAATGATGAAGATTGTTCCTTCTGATGTTGATGTAAGTATAGTTGTTCTGACTGATTTGTTTTCTTAGCTGCAAAGGTAAAAGAGAAAAACATCATGTCCAACACTGAAAGTCAACTTTTGAAAACGATAAGCGTTCTAGTGTAGCTTGCATATAAGTCTCAGATTTGAAGCTTGTTAACTGGACTACTTATCACCTAATTGATGTGAAGGTGCAACATAAGATGTGCATTTTTATTTGTTTGTATGATATCGGAAAGCTGTGCAAAATATAGTAAGACTTGTTACGTGGATACTTTTGTCCGACCTTTCAGTTACCTATGGATTTGAGCTATATGCTTGCAACCTCTGCCACAAAAATAGAGCACACGGAGTTCCATATGCTCTCGTAAAAGATTTTTCAGAACCATGTATACTCTCAACAACATATACATTGACTTACTATTTAGTTTCTTGCTAATACTATATATCTTTTTCGTTATTGTTACAGAATGATGCAGACTACTGGCTTTTGTCTGATGCTGAAGTTAGCATTACAGATATGTGGAGGACGGATTGTATCCTTTTTCAAAATTGTTCCCCCTTTTTCTTTTCACTCCCTTCCCACTCTTTCGGTTTTCTTTTCAATTAAATTATTGTTTCACTGTGTGAATGATCAGTTCCTTCACTATGACAACTATAGCTGGTGTTGGATGGAATGGGACAGACATTCTTCATGCTGACTTTGGAGTGACTGATGTTAGTACACCAAGGCCGCAAACTCCGCCATCTAGGGTTGTTGAAGTCCCATCTCATGCAGTTAACTTCGCTCAAAGGTGAATCTTCATTTGTGTAACGGGGTATCTGTAGAAATTTCGTGTATCCACCATCAGTGGCCTTCCATCTGTGTCAAGTATTGCTAGGAGATGCAACATAGGCGAAGCATTTGGAAGAAGCTGACGGATGACTGGCCGGGAACTATTGTTATACTGTACAGTTCAGTATGTCCTTGACCCCTGTTGTAGAAATAAAGAGTTCATCGTAAAACTGTAGAAGCTGCAGATATTCAGCAAGGAGCGAAACATTGAGGGATGGCACGTCCAATAATGGTAGTCGACTCTACATACGGGAGAATAGTAATGCTGAATCTGGTTGTATGATGCATGCTCGTTCATTAATGTATGCACACACCATGAGGGGGTTCTGTTTGGAATCCTTGTCTGTAAATGCTGTGATTTTAAGCATGTTGCAGGACCGGCGTGCCGGATGTTGTTAGGGCAGCAAAGGTTTTCTAGTCCTCAGTTCTATCTGATTTTAACGTTAAGACTGCTAAAACATAAACAATTGGCAACATCTTTTATTAACTCTCTTTTTGGTCGAAGGTGGATTTCAAAAGAAACATTTTTGTGAAAATCTCGTCGAAAACTTCTATATGCCCATTTTGGTATTCCATTATTTAGAAATTCTATGCGTACGACGTTTATCAATAGCATATCGAAATGAGTCGCTTTTGTAAGAATTGTTCCATAGGTTTATAAGCGTCACTTCCATCATAGAATTGAGTTTAGTTGTTGACTACAGTTGTGTGTTCTCAGCTTCTTATATTTGAAGTTTCAAGTTCGAATTATCTGTTGTTAATATAAATTATTTTGAAATGCACTCACTTTTCTCGTAATTAGGGTAATGTTAGTAAATTTAAATTTTTAAACTCAATTTTATAAACCGTAGTTATTGTAGGGGTGGGCACTTGAACCTGAAAACCGAAACCAAAACACGAACCAAATCAAATCGTATCGAATGGTTTGGTTTTGCGGTTTCAAAACAGTTTCGGTTTGAAACCGAACCGAATAAAGGAAAAACGGTTTGGTTGCGGTTCCGGCCATCTAAAACCGAACCAAAACCAAAACCGCATAGCTTTATTAAATGTTAAATTCTATTTGGTTATTTCATTGAATCCATACATTTAGTATGAATTCAACCACATCATAACATGGCCACATAATCTCTTTCTTTTCTTTCTTCTAGTAGTGGTCTGTAGACACTGTACTCTTTCTTTCTCGTCTGCTGCTCTCGGTCTCCCAGGACTCTCTCCCCAGGCTCTCTCTTTTATTTTGAGTCAGTGATGATGTTAATATTTTTGCTCTTGTTGTGTCAAATTGGCTGACAGCTTTGGGCTTCACGTGCATGCTTTTTGTTTGTGTGCTTCGGAAAATGGTAGCATGAGGAGCAACTATACGAAACGATAAAATGATAGCTTGAGAAGCAACTATACAAAATGTTCTAGTTCACAAGGATTAATGATTTCTCATACATTGATTTTAAATTTACAACATGCAAGGTCTTCCTCAAGTATCAGCTTCTCAAGTCTGTTCACAAGTTTAAAGATTTTTTAAATCTTCGGCTAGTAAGTGTGTAAAAGGAAAGGGAAAGACAAATATTTGAAACTTGAATGATGTAAAGTAAGTTGAAACACCAAAACTTTTTTATTGAATTGGATGAATGCTATATTGAAGACATGCTTGATTGAATTTTAATATTATATGCATGCTTGAACAATGCAGTAATAGAAGCGTATATCGAAGGAAAAGGAAATAAGATACAATTCGGTAACCATAATAGCTTTTTCAAACAATGAAACCAAACCAAAATCATTTAAAACCAAACCGAACCAAATGGTTTGGTTTCATTTCGGTTTTAGCTTCAAAACCGCACCGAATCAAACCGCAAAAACTTGCGGTTTTGGTTTTGGTTTCACTTAAAACCGCACCCACCCCTAATTATTGATGATTGGATTATTGATTAACGTATTTATTTGTTGTGACATTATTTAGTTTAAAATTTTAGTACAAAATTTTTATTTAACTCGCATTGTCTTTTTAATTTTTATGGTTCATTTTCCCGTCTTTTTATAGTCGAAATATTCCCGTTATAAGAAACGAGGGCTAACAACCAGTCCAAAAAAAAGGGTATAAATTGAGCGCAGCGCAGGCTCGTCAGGGTGGCGGGCCGCAAACGACAAGTTTTCAAAAACGAAAAAGAAGTGTTTTGCGCGTGAAGACAAAAACGACGTTTGTTTTAGGCCAATTATTGCCAAAACGCACCCACGCACCCGCCGTGAACCCAAACCGCGTTTCACGTTCCACTCTCTCTCTCTCTCTCTCTCTCACGCACATTTTGTTCTTCTGCTTTGCTTTCAGCTGCTCTACTATGGACGATTCAACCGTACTCAGCCCACTCCCGGCGATCCCACTGCCCTCGTCGGGGAAGCTCTGCCGCAGAAACTCTATCTGCACATCCGTGGTGGTCCCCGCCAAGCTCAGCCTGCTCTCCGCCACCACCACTCCTACCTCAACTACCAAGCTCCGGCGCCTCCGCAACCCCAGCCTCCCAGCCCAAAACGGCGGCGTGTCGGGCCCAGAGCCACTCCAACTGGACCTGGAGCTCCTCTCCTTCAAGAGCTCCAAATCCTACACTTCTCTCAAAGACCTGCTCCCCTCCTCCGCCGCCGTGAATTCCCCCACCGCTGCCTCCGCCAACAACTCCGGCTACGAAATCTCCATTCGCAACCGCCTCGTTAAGCAGGCCGCCTGGGCCTACCTCCAGCCCATGTCCTCCACCTCCGGCCCATCTGGCCCAAACTTCCTCCGCCGCCTCTGCCTCAAGCTCTCCCCCTGCCTCTCTTTCTTCACCCACTGCATCGTCCCCTTCCTCTCCCAAGCCCTCCGCCGCACACTCCGCTGCATCGGACTCGCCACCTAACACATTCTGCAACTTTTTGTCATCTGTATATATTATAAATTTTTTACTCAAAAGGAAACAAAATTGAATGAAAGAATTTGAATTTATATACGAATTCAGAGTTCGATCATTCAATCAATCGATTGCTGTTTCTGGGATTTGTACAATTTCTGTTTCTCCTTTTTTGTTTTTCTTTTGTGATCACAATCTAATCTGTCACTGGATTGGCTTGGAAGGCCTGAGCCGGAGCTTCTCGGTCGACTCGTCAACCTGCCCACCATCTGTTTGATGTCGGGACTGAACCACCTTTGGGGACCTCGGAGGCTCAGACATGGCGCCGGTTGACTGTGGTGGCTCTGCCATTGGGTGTTGCTGGTGGGGATTCTGGCGGCCACTTGTTCTTTCCGCTCGGTTTGCGAAGCGGCACGTTTGGCTGCTGCGGTGCTGGCGCTGTGGCGTCCTGCTGATCATCATCGACTGTCTGCGACTGTGAGGTTGGTTCAAATAATCAAACAAACAAAAACAATGAATTTTCAGTAACTCCTTTTCCAGAAAAATTCAAATCTTCGTTTTTGTGCACGAGAGAAATTGTTTCTTGCTCATATTGCCTACATGAACCAGGTGAATGAACGACTGGATGTGCGATCAAGGATTCTGATACATACTATACTTCGATCGATGCTAGAAAAACCCGAGAAGTGTATTGCATTGTAAATGTGGCCTACCTCGGTGGTGGTTTTGACACCGAAGTTTGTGGAGTTAGCAGCCAAGTACTGAAGGGCTTGGAGGAAAGCAGCGTGGCCGTATTGGGCGCAGTTCTGCCAGTAGAAAACAGTCAAATCCCAGGCTCTTGCTCTCATCTCAAGCAACTTCCCGTCTATGTCTGTCTCATGCTTTGCTACATATGGCCTCAGGAAGGTCTTGTACACAAACCCAGTTCCCTACAACCACATTTCAAATGTCATTCCAATGAATCAATTGAAAATTTGTACAACCGTGTTTACGTTGTCAGACTGTTAATGCGGATTCTAAACGCTAACGGAATGTATGTTCAGTCAGATTCATAGGACAGACAATGTAAGTCTAGCACAAATATATGCACATTTTAAATGGTATTCCAATGAATCAAACTAAATATTTGTATAACAGGATATGTTGTCAACTGTGAATATAGATCACTAATTAGGTCAAGTGTTGCTTGAATGTTGACGGAATGTATGTTCGGTTATTTTCCAATTCACAGTCTGCCAACATAAATTCAGGACGAAGTTATGTGAATTTGATCAATGGCTCGAAATTTGTGTTTCTTACCATGGTCTTTGGATGCCATAGGTAGATGAAAAGGGCCACCTTCCCCTCACCATACATGGGCAACCTTCACATTTTTTTCACAAGAGTAACTTAATATGGGTCACAATTCAAATAACAAATGAATGCTAAAATGATGAAAAATGAGTTTATAGTTAGAGAGTGACTTGTACCATGAGATGAATACATCTCCAACCCTCTCAACAACTGTGAGCATTGCCACAATTATCCTGTAAAAACGACATGTCGTTATTGCGTATTCAATTAGACTTTGGACATGTTATTATCCAAAGTTAATGACATCATTTAAACAACCATTAAACAAATTATTGGTTGAATTGCTACCAAGAAGATAATCCCATATGGGGAAAGACCTGGTGACGATTAATGTGGTGGCATCTCAAACCTATCACGCATCACTACGTGTTGTAACTTTCTCACACAACGTCGCATGATTGGTTTGAAATACCATCACATTGATGTAGAGAGGGTGTTTACGTACCAATACTGACACCAAAGGCGGAGTTCTTCAATCTCAACTCTGTTCTTCTCCACAGTTTTATAACACTCAAATGCTGGGTATGCATACCCAAGAAACAATCTGCACACCCCCAACCAACAAAACCAATATTAAAAAAAAAAAAAAAACAACCCAAGTACAAAATCAAAGGTAAAGTCGAAGATCAAGATTCAAAAACTGGATTAACATTAATGACAGAACATTAACATACATAAGAATTCTGGTAAGCAAGCTTCCCAACATCTTTTGATTCCTTCACATCAAATACCACCACACACAAATTACATCCCTGCAACACGAAACTAAATTATAAATTCGACCCCGAAATTGCATTACTTGGAAACCCGAAAGAAAAGAGAACGTTAAGATTTCAGAGAGACGGACAAGCGATTGATCGATAGCTTCTCGTTGAGAAGGAGTCCAAAAGGAAAAAAATAAGAAGTCCGGGCGGAGAGCCAGAACCAAAAATGCCCACCATGTGAGGAGTTCCAACTAACCAGCAAGAAGGAAGGGATTAATAATATTCTTTGAGGAGAAATGGGGTTTTATTTAATCTCTGGTTCTGTGAAGGAAAATGTGTTTTGTGGAGAGACAAACAAGAGAGAGATAGACAGACACAAATTCGAAGGGAGTTTGAGACGGGAAGAAATTGCCAAGTTTCTAGCAATGCTATATTTGTATGTGTATCGATTTCTATATATATATATGGACTTTTGGGCAGTTAAGTTGTTAATCCACAACAGGATTAGATTAGATTAGATTAGATTAGATTAATTTAATTCATATATGAGAGACGAACAAAGATGTGGATTTTAAAAGAAAAAGAAAAATTAGAGGATTTCTTGCGATGGACGCCTTCTTACGATTTTACGCGAAATTCTGTGAGGACTGAGGAGGAAGGGACTTCTCGGGAATTGTCGTCAATGACGGATTTACCCTTTGGCGGTTTGATATTTTGTTTTAACAATTAAGAACAGAAAATTCCGCTAAACTAAAATGAAAAGAAGGAGAAATAGAGGGAGGGATGAGCGTTTCGAAAGAAGTAACAGAGTCTTTATTTAAAATAATTTCTATTTTTTAGGTAAAAATGAGACTAGTTGTGGGGCTATTATGCATCAGATTTTAACAATTCGAACTGTTTATCTTTTTAAGTCTTCAATCATAAATTATTTAATCCAAAACTATATACTCATTTGATTGACATGATGAAATTTCAATATTTCTTAGAACATAATATTCATCAATTTCTTTGAACTCAATTAGATATCTCAAGCATTTTCGATTTGACTAATATTTTACAAAAATGATCTATAGAGTGCAACTTAAATAATAGACAGTTCGGATCATTGAAATTTGTCCCATTATCCATTTAAATTTCAATTTATTACAAAATCGTCTAAAATAATAATCTATGTATATAATCGAAGAAGAAGAGTATGGTGAAACATTCAAAAATGTCATTGTAAATTCATTAAAGTCTATCCGTATGCAAATGCACACGTGACAAAAAAGATTTTGTCACGTATGGATACGTATAACTACTTTTAGTTTTTAGTATTTTGTTTTCCTCAAAAATGTCATTGTAAATTTATTAAAGTCCGACAAATATTTCAAGAAATAATACGACTTTGTTGCGACATTGCTTATGATGATAAATCTTTAAAAATAAGAGTTGTGTGAAGTAAACTTAAGATTAAGAGTTGTGTGAAGTAAACTTAAAATGAAGAGTTAAGAGAAGCGTATAAAGCAATGAAGTTTAATTGAGTTATACGAACCATATTTGTATTTAGTGAACTATTTTATTTTATCACATCAAAATGAGGTTTAAGAGCCTCATGCACCAAGGCAAAATCGTAGCAAGTCCGTAGAAATTTTTGGATTTTTTTTAACTTTTAGTGAATTTATTAAGATTTTTTTTTTTTTTTATCAATAAGAATTTTCAAATATAAACATAATAAAATGAGCAAAAATGCCACGTGCTAAAACGTGAATATGCACCAGACAACAGAGACTAACAAGAAGGAGATATTTTTCAACGTGCTCAAAACACGAAGTGATATGTTACATGACATTATCTAATTGTGTTTCAAACTCACTGAAAAATCTCTCGACAAGAAAACTCTAACTGTGAACACGTGTAAAATATTGTCAGTATTTTCGTTTATTTCATAGTTCTCCATTAAATATAAATAAAATGGAATAGGCCTCTTGTAAATAGTTAAGTTAAGCTCGAAGCCCATAAAATGGAATAGGCCTCTTGTAATACACCACAAACAGTAGCCCATAATGTGCAAATACTTAAGTTAAGCTCGAAGCCCAATCTCCATTGCCCAAGAGCTGTTCTCCCAGTTCTTCACAGCAGCGGCCTCCATGGCAGCAAACAGCTCCTTCTTTGGGGGGCCTCTGGATGTCGATTCTGTTGAATTTTTCAGAGAGATGGGCCGGGAAGTTCACTTTCAACAACATCAATACTGTCCTTAATTTGGTAATTACCATATGCTCAATTTATCAGGTATGAAGTTTTATCACAAAAAATATCAGGGTTTTTTTTTTTTTTTTTTTTTTTTTGAAAACACGATATTATCTACACTCAGACCAAACCCAACTCTGGACTGAATGCTATTTTTTAGGTTTTATTATTCCCCCAAACCTAACTCAACCCATGCTAAATGTGTGGGTTAAAAGCTAAAAGCCAAACAAAAGTCAAATACCCCCCATGATTTAGCCCATAAATGGTGTGGGCACCACCAGCGGGACCCCACTCACATGGGCATGTCTCTCAGGATTTATTGAATCCAATAACTGAGATCGAATATAATCAAATCTAATAATAAAAAAAAAAACATTTAACAGCCCAAATTTAAATCCAACGGCTAAAATAATTTAAAAAATGGAGACTTTGGATGCGGTCCCTAACTATGAATATTCTTTGACTGAAACCTTGTTGGTTTCAAATTTTTATCTAAGTCCCTGAACTTATTGTCATAATTTATTTTTATATACGTTACTATATTTTTTTAATTAAAAATTGAAATTTATAGTTGTTTATATTAATGAGATTTTAAATAAAAAACCATAATTTGTGGATTAAGAATATTAAAATATAAATATACTATTGTGTGTGTGTGTGTAGAAACATGGGTACATTCATCAAAATTAACCAAAAAATTATTGTATCAAAACATGAGGACATTCTTCAAAATCACCAAAAAAAAAAAAAAAAAAAAAAAAAAAAAAAAAAAGATATTAGGCTGAATAAATTAGTAAATTTCTTTGATTAAACTTAATATGGATACATTCTCAAATAAAAGAAAAAAGAATGTACCCACATAAGTTTAAAATGGATTAGAAAAAAAATTGAATAGATTTTATATAAAAAAAATGGTACATTTTACATATAACAAATTGGTATATTTAAGAATGAGTACATTTTAAGATTAAAAATTTGAAAAAAATTACATGAATGGTACATATAATTTGTTACATCCCACATCGCCTAGGGGAGTGGATCCTGTAAGCCTTATATTTATATTCCCATCTCTACCTAACATGAGACCTTTTGGGAGCTCATTGGCTTCGAAGTTCATCGGAACTCTGAAGTTAAGCGAGTTCACGCGAGAGCAATCCCTAGGAAGTTATTGTGTGAGTTCCCAGAAACAAAACCGTGAGGGCGTGGTTGGGGCCCAAAGCGGACAATATCGTGTTACGGTGGAGTCGAGCCCGGAATGTGACAATTTGGTATCAGAGCCAATCCCTAGCTAGAAGTGTGCTGACGAGGATGTCAGGCCCTTACCGGTGGATTGTTACATCCCACATCGCCCAGGGGAGTGGATTCTGTAAGCCTTATATGTATATTCCCATCTCTACCTAGCACGACGCCTTTTGGGAGCTCACTGGCTTCGGGTTCCGTAGGAACTCCGAAGTTAAGCGAGTTCGCAAGAGAGCAATCCCAGGATGGATGACCCACTGGGAAGTTCTCGTGTGAGTTCCCAGAAACAAAATCGTGAAGGCATGGCCAGGGCCCAAAGCGGACAATATCGTACTACGGCGGAGTCAAGTGAACAATATCGTACTATGGCGGAGTCGAGCTCGGGTTGTGGTGGAGGGCCGGGCCGGGATGTGACATAATTAGCATGGGTACATTTAGCAAAATTAAAAATGGGTATAAATACAGATAAAACTTTATAAAATATGGGCACAAAAATAAATTAATATATGGGTACAAATTAAAACTGAAAAGAAAATTGGTACAAATTACAAAAGGGTTGCAAATGAAAAATGGGTACGAACTAAAAATAAAAATATATGATAAAAAATTTAGCCATAAATATAAATATACTAATTGTAACATTTTTAACATTAAATGAATATATTTAGAAATAAAAATATTTTATTATTGAAATAATTAATGATGTTATTAATACTAAGGAACTTGATCAAAAATTGGAAAGGAATAAGATTTTAATCAATGGAGTAGTAAAAGAAAGGATGAGAACCTAATTTCTCCTTAAAAAAATTATTTAACTTAAAATTCACCCAAATTTAGTGATTTTTCAATATTTATCGAAATTTAAATATTTTTAGATTAAAATGTTCATAAAATTAAATTATGATAGTGAACATAATTTTTTTTAATTACTTTAAAAGAAAAAATTAGCCTAAATTTATTCTTTAATAATCTCAAGCTAAAAAATTTAGACCAGAAGAGTTGGAGCAGAAAAGTTGTTTATGGGCTAAAACCTAAATTTTTTGGGCTAAAATTTTTTGGTTTAGCCCAAGGGTTGGAGATGGTCTAAGGGGAAGAAATCAAAGTTGAGGCATTAAACGTTGCAGAAGGGAGACGATGGTCCTAGAAATCTGGTTTATCAAGAATAAGACCTAGATGAGCTAACGCGTCTGCCATAGAATTTGCTTTTTTGAAAATATAGTTTCATTCGATGCGATTGAACTTAGAAACCATCCCACGAATATCCTCAATAATAGAATTTAGGTTCCAATGGACGTCTCATTTTCCTTGAAATGTGCAGCTGATTAACTTTGAATCTCCTTCCACCAGAATGTTTTGAAGCCTTTACATCTAGCAAACCTTAATCCTTCCCTCGAACTCATAGCCTCAGCCACTGAAATAGTTACTCCGTCTAGGTTGAAAGCACTAGTACCAATAACTTGACCCTCATAATTCCTTGACACAAAAGCAACATCAACTGTCTCCGGAGTGACAGAACCATCCAAGTTTAACTTTATAACGTCTTGGTGAGGGGGATGCCATCGAATGACCTACTCAAAAGAAATATCAACCTTGCATTTTGGTTTCCAATTAGAGCTGAAGAATGAAGAAACCACACTAGCTGAAATGGCAAGGCAGTGAAAGGTGTTCATTAATAATATATATTTTTAGATTATTTATATCACAAAACATAATTGTTATTAGCAATTTAAAAGTCAACAAGCACTGAAAATGATGAAGAATAAAAAACCGCTAACGGAAGTACGAAAGTGTCACACAATTTCACTTTATATATGAAATTGGAACGAAATTAATGTATGAAAGTTAGAATTATATAGTTAATAACAAATTCTAACATAAACTCACCGTTTTAGTACCAACAATTGTTGGGTTTGGTGGTTGAGATTATAGCTATGATTGGAGTCCCACATCGGTGGATGAGGAGAGTCATCCATCCTAAAGGTACCACACACACATATTGCTAAGGCCCTGTAGTAAAATTCCAAACTTATTTCTTTCGGGTTGTTAAAGTGGAGGGAATATCAGCAATATTGACTCGTGTGTGTTGAACTCGTAGGTGTGCTTTGGCACAACAATAAAATCTCCAACGAAAACTTGTCGTAACTATATTAGAACACGTAAATTAGCAACACATGTTAGACTACAAAAGTTTCTTTTTATTTAAGCTAGATGCCTTCTAGTTCTACTATACATTGCCCTTGAAGTGACTCAAATTTATTGGCTAAGTTCTTTCAGATTCTTGAGAGAGCATATTCAACAATTTGATTGATAGCTATATATCCGTACAACTATTTTTACACACCTTCATTTTCTGTAATTTGTTCATAGCTTCCTCCTATTTTTTTTCTTATTTATGACTCTTAATTTTTTTTTTTTTAATTTGTTCAATTAAATAGCTACCTCCCACAAAATAAGGACAATAAAAAACTTTGGAAAAAATATTAGTAAATAGAAGACCGAAATACAGAGATGCTTCTTCGGCTCTTTCCTATCTCACCCTCTTCTGGTTTCAGGTAACGTCTCCGTTTCTTACTCCCACCCATCCAAAAAGCCTACAAGTTTGGTTTTCAAATTATGAATTAATTGTCCTAAACAAGTACGAGGCCTCCATAAACTCATACACTTTTTAGAGAGAAATAGCTAGCAGCCTAGCAGTAGCCATAGGATGCTGTATGGTCCAATCACACCGATATTGTCCTTTAACTTGTACCTTACCACCTGCACAACACCACAGGTCTGGTTTTATCACAAAAAAACATCGGTGTAATTAGACGTTCATATTTGATTTTGTTCTCCTATATGAGATTTTTGTATTGTAGGACATATGCGTCTAAATTCTGAAGTGAAACTCCGTTATCGATATTTTTTTAGTTATATAAGGCCAAGGGCAAGCTACAGATTATACTGTGGAAGCAGAGAAATGGGTGAGCAGGAAAATTCAGAATCTGAAGCGATTCGAGTGAAGAGGCGTGCTACGTTTCGTATATGCAATGTGTCAAGGTTCTCACTTTTTTGGCTCCAAATTCTTTGTGGTGTGTGATAGTTTTAGTGGCGATTGTTTTGTTAATTGGGTTTTTTTTTTTTTTGTTTCAGTTTCACCACTGAAATACTGGAGATCCCTGCTGACAATCCAGCATTGCATGTTCTTGTTATACCTGGAAATCCAGGTGGGTTTTTGTGTTTGTGTGGGTGGGATTGATTCAATTTTGAGAGTTACGATTTGGGTTTTCGGTATTGTAGGTGTTGTTTCATTTTACAAAGACTTTGTGGAGTCGCTGTATGAGTTGCTGGGTGGAACTGCTTCTGTGACAGGCAAGACTTTGGTGTTTGTTGTATGTTATTATTAGTTAAGAGTTTCGGAAAGTGTAAAAAATATGCTAATTTGTTTGCATTCTTGTGTCTATCATCAGCTGTTGGACATATATCTCACACCAAAAAGGTATTACTTTTTGCTTATACAAGGTTAGGCCATACTCGTTTACTATTTGCATCAAATTTCACTTCTTTGCCTTTTTTGCTCCTGATCATTAATGCTGTACTTTTCTTTCCCTTGCAACTGATGATGAGTATGTTTTGCTGGCTGCCCATTGTAAAGCCTACTGAAATTGTATGAACATAAAATATGGTTAACCCTTGGTTTGTGTGGCTAATCCTATCTTAGCTTTAATAAGGTTTCGTCTATTCAATTAGCAATATGTTAATTTCTCTGTAATGTGAAGACTGAAGACAAATAAAAATTAGGGGCGATTCATGGAATATATTGTAGTCCCGAGCTTCAAAATATGTGTAAATTGAAATACTTTATCAGTTGGAGTGCATGAAGTGAACCAGCAAAAGGTCTCTTTGATCTTTGTTTAGTTAAAGGTAATTAATTTGGACAGATCACAGATGCATGAGCTGAAAGCCACTTACAGGTCTTGTTGCCTTTTTCTTGGAGAGCAGCGCTAAAACAAGCTGAGTAGGGGTGTCATAAGTTACGTTTTTAAAAGGAACAATGGTATATGTCTTGGGTAGTTGGGTTAGTGATAAAAGGGTGGTGGTCATCTTATTGGCCTCAGGTTTACATGTTTCTGAATCTGAAAGTTACAAAGGTTTTTAAGACCGTTGTAGGATTAGATTTCAACCAATTATGCATGCAAGTTGGGATTTTGACCTTCCATAATAAATATGGTATAGTTCTTGCAAGTCTGGCTTTGCCTTTCTATTTTAGTTTAATGTTACTTTCATGACATTTGTATCATTAATTAATCAGATATTTGATCTTTTTATGGTCCTTCAGCCTAAGAAATGGTTTACTGTGTTTTTCATATCACACGCAATATATATCTATGCTTCAGCAATCTGTGGCATGGGCATGATTGTCAAATAATATTCTCTTTTTGTTAGAATTGGGAGCATGGAAGGCTGTTCTCATTGCAAGAACAAATTGATCATAAGGTAAACTCTGCTTGCTTTATTGCTTTTGAGAAATGGTTGGCCAGATAAGAGAGATAAGAGATTTGTGGTGCACCTCAAGTTGGTGGTGTGGTGGTTTAATATCCTGCATAATGGAGTGAAACATATTGAATGTCATTGCCTCCCAAATCAAATGTGTTGTAGTTGATCTGCTGGTATTAACAATGACTGAATTTTAAATCCAAATATCTGAATTGAGCTTCTGAGCGTACAGTTTTTCATGTCATTCCAATCCCTTGCATTTTCTCTTTTAAAACAGAATCCAACTTTGACTTCCAGATCTTACCTTTATTTTTCAAATCTCCATTTCAATAGTTTTCCTAATGGCACTCTTCAGCCAATTTGTCTATATTGGAACTTATTAGTTATAATAGTGTCTGGTTCCTCAATAAAATAAAAAATAGTGTAGAGTGTCACATACAGTTTTGACTGCTAATTAAAGTCGTACTTGCAGATGGACTTCATCAAACAGGAGTTGCAAAATAATGAAGTTCCTATATTACTGGTGTGATAATTTTCTATCTCCAATTTGTGCTTCTATTTTCAGTTTATTGTCTGCTGTGTGGAGAAGAGGGGCGTATAAGTGCAGTATCTGTTGATTCTGGTCCTAAATCACCTTAAGATTCTTGGACCAAGTTGGATATCTCTTGCATTTGAGTTCTGTAGCAATTACTTATCAGTGAAGCTGTATCTGCTAAACTTATTGGTGGCATATACATCAGTGATATTGCAAATACACATCCATCTTTACTTAACAATCAAGCACCCCTTGATCAGAAGCTGCTTCGATGTTTTTTTTTAGTCTAAGTGTTAGTATACGAAGCATTTCCCAGTGTCAACACAAAATGTTCTCTTGTTTCAGTTTTTGTGTGTGATTGTTTACTGAGAGTAGGTTTTTTTTTCATGACTATATCTATATGCAACTATGTTCTGAAATTTCTGTACTAAGAACATAAGCTTTGTGATCAAGTGCCCTCTCTTACTCTGGGTTTTTTTCTTTCATTCGGGTGTTATCCATATGGTGTTTCTCCTGTGTAGATTTTTAGTAATCCTTCAATATGTGTGTGTTTTAGCCTTCGATCAATGGTTAGGTGATGAAGATCTGTCAGCACTTCCTGGTTCTGAACTAGGATTATTAGTATACCATGATTTTTTTTTTTTTTTGTTCGAAAGTTGTTTTGTCAGGTGGTGATCTCAACAAGTTCAGTGATCACCAATTCATCCACAGGGTTACATGAAAAAAAGATTGAATTTTTTTTGTTTTTTTTGTTTCTGACTTTGATTATCTTATAAAAAAGCTGAAGTTTAGTTTCCTGCAGGTTGGGCACTCTATTGGTTCATATATATCTCTAGAAATGTTCCAGAAGTCTCCAGAGAAGGTGACAACAACCTTGTACAATGTTGTCTACTTCTCACTCAGTCACTTGCCATATTATTACTACCACCCATAGGCTTCTGACTATAGAGAACCTGCTACATGTTTTATGGAATTGTAGGTGACATTTTGTGTTGGACTATATCCTTTTTTGGCCTTAAACCGACAATCCGTACAGCAGTCTTTCATTGGGAAGCTTGCAGCGTAAAATTCTTTCTTTTTTATGCATGTTTTTTGTTCTGTCCTATGCATTAGTGTGCTTCATGCACATGCAATAGGCAGTTATTATAATGAAATTTTTCCTGTGGCTGGTACCTTTGGTTTTACTTTTATATTTCATGCCTACTTTCAGTGGTGTCTGTTTAGTTTTGTTGGTTTCACTTATGCGAAAATAAAAGTTGAACTTTCAATGAGAAAATTGACAGTTGATGAATTGTTCAGGGAACTGTTATTGACACTCCAAAATGTCATCCTACTCTCCTCCAAGTTGAGTTTCTCGTTTATGTGTTTATGTGGGAGGAATGCCGGATGACTTCTTTAGAGTGCCAATAACATCTCCCGTTTTTAGCCATTCATTGGAATTCTCACTTGGTCCTAATGTATATTGGCGGGGTTCTTTTAAAACTCATTCTAGTGATATTAGTTGTAACAGTAGCCATTCATAGAGATTAACAATACAGAATAGTGTGTTTCAGGTCCCGTATTCTAAGTGTTGTCTTGAGCTTAATTGTTGCACTCTTGGGATTGTTTCCTATCCGATTGTTGAGGTTAATTGTGACCACATTCCTTGGGAAGCTCTGGTCAGCTACTGCAGTTGAGGCTACTTGCTCTCACTTGGTAAAGGTAAAGGTTTGTCTTGTAATAGATTGGTGAAGTTGGCTTCTTAGGTCATACATACTTTCAAAAACGTCAAAAATCTTTTCTTTTCTGGTTATCTCTTATTATGAAGGAGCTTATACTTATACCAGTGTTCTGCTGATTAAACTATTTGCCTCCATGAAGCAATGTGTTTTTTGTGCATGACTGTGTGCACGCTATTGTGCATGTGTTTTGAATATTTTTCCATGAACATTTGATTTGTGAACTTGCAGTACCATACCATGCGGAATGTCCTCTTCATGGCAATGACAGAATTCAGAAAGGTAAAACTATTGGCTTTTTGTAAATTTAAGATTTTAGTTGTAATTGATCATGAAAGTTACTAATATTGTTTTTCGAAAACTGTAGTCACTGACTTCCAAATTAAACTGAAACTTTAACATGGTTCATGTGATTTTGTAAATAGTAAAACTTTTTTCACCCGCTTCCTCCTTTTATGTTGATATTTTCATCCTCTCTGAAAATAGAGTTATTACCTCCACATGCTTTCATGGTGATCATGAAAATGCAACTATTACTTCCCTTTAGATTCTCATCCATATTTTGAAAATCTAGTTCTTACTTTTAAATGTATATTGGTTTTGTGCTACTGCATCTACTGGGTGCATCCTTGATGCGATACGAATGAGTTCTTTCCTAATTGGTAATATGGTAATCATGTATGCATTCAATCTGTTATCCTCGTGTTAACAGAAAGTTAAATATTTGACTGAAAAGTTACCATGATGGTGTTCAACTATGTATTCAACACAACACTATTTTTTTGTTAAGATATGATATTCTCTTTGCATATATAGCCTCTTCAGCTTCAACAAACACCAAAATTGCTGCATAGTTCATCTAGGAAAGTTAGAACTGTGGTATACATATTTTGTGCTTACCATAGGACTCCACTGTCAGCTTTCAGCAACACCAGATTGGGCATTCATGAGGGGAAACCAGCACAAAATAGCATTTTTGTTCGGCATTGATGATCACTGGGGTCCATTGCAAATGTTTGAAGAGGTAATTTAAGGAGTTCTTTTCAATGTTGAGTTTGGAAGTCAAGTGTCAATAAGATTTAAGAGGGATATTGTTTCCCTGCCTGTTTGTGCATATGAATATGTTGCGAATGCATTTATGCTTTAAAAATTATATGGTAAGTTTCATGACCTTCCAGACCCCTGAGATTCCCAGATACCTTTAACTCCCAGTGCTACTCGCCTGAAATATGCAGGCACAATTTACATGTCAATCACAAGGTGTATGGTGATTCTTATGGCTTTCATGTTAGAAAAGTATATGATTACAGTTTGTCCTGGATAAACATTGATTCAGAAGCTTTAAATGACCATTGTATTGGCTTTCTTTCCAAGCAGGTACAAGATATGGTCAGAATTCTTAATATACAGATTGAATATTTGCTGCTAATGTCATGCACGTTGGTAAAAAGAGAGATAAAATGGTTGCAGTTGATGCTATTGAGTGTTAAGCGTGTGTTGCAATTTTGTTTGCGGAGATAACTTTTGAACGCCCTTTCTCACCTCTTGCGCACCCTACTTTTTTCTAGCTATTAGATTGAACAAATCAAAAGAAAATCAGAGTGCCGTAATTAAGAAAATGTGTGTAGAAGGTGTAAAATGGCGTGCAAATTTCACTTCCCTTTGGTTTACTTTTGCTTTTGGCATTTTCTAATATGCCTTACTGGGCATCTTACTACTTTGTATATCTGTGGGTCCCAGATTTCAAAGCAGGTCCCAGATGTTGCTCTATCAATTGAAAGAGAGGGCCACACTCATGCTTTTGGTTGCACTGAGGCTGGCTCATTGTGGGTTGCTGAGCATGTAGCAGGCTTGATCAAGAACAATCAAGCATCATAGATATACCTGCTCTATCTAGCCCACCATGTTTGTCTTTAGGATGCAAATATTAGACTTTCATTTGGATGGATAAGTCAATAAATAAAGTAAGTCTTAAAGTTTTGATTGTTGCTTGATTAGTTATACTAGAAGCAGTGGATGGATTTGAGCTGCCTACTTGTGGACAAGGGCAGATTCTTCTGTATGACTGGTTGTATATCTGTTCTCCTTATCTCTCATATAAGACCGGACTAATGCTATCTGGTTGGGGACCACGGAGGATTTTTATGCATAACCGGTTGTATGTCCCTCTCTCACTAACTCAAGCATCAAATTTGTGTAAAGTCTTTAGTTAAAGTATTTGTACTATATTTATTGATCAGTATAAATAAGATTTATGAAGGATTTATTTACGTGAGACTTGTGAGTGCTTACAATATAAGTATTACTCATCCTGAATTATAATTTTTTGTTTTGGTGAAGTAATATTATTTAATTTTGTCTACAATTAACCATGAAAATGAAGTAGGGAAATTATCTTGGACATCATTTTCTAACATTAGGAGGTGTATAGAGGTGACAATGAGCAGTGATTTAATTATTAGCTTTGCATCACTTGAGAGTAGGCCTCGCAATCGGATGGTGTTCGCCGTTTTTGTGTTATATCTGCTAATTTAATAGGTAATTTTCGTGTCATATTTGTTATCTTAACGGGTCATTTTCGTATCATATACGTTATCTTATCAGGTCATGTCGTGTCAAATCCGTTATCTTAATGGATTCTTAACAAATGACTAAATAACGATGTGATTCGTTAACAAGTCGTGTCGTGTTGGGTTAACACGTCATGCAAGAAATTGTCATGCCTAATATCTAGATTTGGCAAACGATATCTTATCGGATTCTTAAAAAATGACTCTATAACAATATAACTAACAAATTAACTCACTCTAAAACTTATTATTTTTGTGTTGTGTCGCGTTAACAAATGGTGTACAAATTGACTAGCCTACTGACAGCTCCAACCAAGGACAAAGCCAATGAAGGCTCAGTGGGGGTATATGCCCCCACTCAAGTGATTCTTTTATTAAGTCGCAAACTACAATTATATAATACACATGCGTTATTTTTGAAAAAAATATATGTACCTAGCATCCAGCATACTTTCATACTGCATATACTCTATATCAAATATTATATGAGCAAAAGTACTCTTATTCTGTCATTCAAACCGAAAAACCTCACTTTTGCATAATTATGTATTAATATTTTTCTTATCACTTTGCCACTTTCCACTACTACATTGAAATAACATTGGAATTGTGATACATTATCATTTGAAATCATTCTTATTTTTATATTGATTATAATTCATACTATAATAAAATTTTCTTAATTGATTCTCTGATTGCCCTCATTAAAAGAAATTTCTAACTCTGTTCCTGGCCCCAACCATCAAGAACTAGCACACCATGATGACTAGGAAGCAACCCATCAAGTACATATTTTTCGTAGTCAAATTGTGCGGTATAGACGAGACTGTCACTGGAATAAACTCACAGAACAGCCATTTTAGCATGTAGGGGACCCTTCAGGAGCTCACATGAACACTTTATAGTCAAATCCCCTTATCCCAACAACTCTCACTCACTTCCTCAACTAAACTAATCTCTCTCTCTCTCTCTCTCTCTCTCCCTCCCTCTCCCTCCCCCTAAAACACACACGATGCCTACAACAACCAGAAGAAAGCTCCGGTTGAGCAAAGTCACGGTCGACATAGGATGCAGCTGCAGAAAACCTATTAAGCTCTTCCAAATATTCCACCCTAAACCTAAACCCTCCTCCAAAACCCTAAAACAAAACAAGTACAACCACTTCCCTCCTTCTTCTTCTTCTTCTTCTTCAACCCCACGCAACAACAACAACAACAACAACAACAAAGTCTACAAAGACGACTGTGCTCCATTTTTAGTCACAAATTCCGACGCAAAAGCCACGAGACCCGTCAGGGGCTTCGGTAGAATCGGCAACGAAAGCGTGGCTGTGGAGAAAGACTCCGGCGACCCTTACTTGGACTTTCGACACTCGATGCTACAGATGATACTGGAGAACGAGATATACTCGAAAGACGATCTCCGGGAGCTTCTCAACTGTTTCCTGCAGCTCAACTCGCCCTGCAACCACGGCATTATTATCAGGGCCTTCACTGAGATCTGGAATGCTGTTTTCTCTGTCAGGTCTGGACGTTCGACGTTGCTGCACTTTGCGAGCAACAAGTCACATGACTACTAGCTGAAGGCTGAAGCTGTATCTGCTGCACGTGCAACGGGGGATTGAGAGATTGAGTTTCCAGTTACATGTCGTGTTAAGATAAAAGACAAAGGGATTCAATCAAGTTATTTAAGGTCCTTTGTAAGGTTGTGGGGTGCATGTAATGTAAATAAATATTTTGGATTAATCAAATCTCATATGAATTATGGGTACGATTTTATATTTGTTTTTTTTGTATGATTGTATTTTACCACTTTCCTGGAGTACAAAATAAAGTAAATTGTGGGATGATACAATGTTGGATCATGAGTTTTGTTACATAGTAACATGGTAAAAGAATATATATATATATATATAATTTTCAAAAAGGGATAATATTTGTGTGTATGTTGTTATACATCTTTACCTTTCACTTCTAAAACATTACTGTATAAAATTTACAGTTACAATGCCTTTGTGAATTTTTTTAGTGCAACGATTCTGATTTTATATCTTATGTGGTAATCTTTGAAGTGAAAATTTCCGGCTGATGTTGTTGAAGTATGATATATATATATATATATATATATATATATATATCTATAGCAATTGGCTTGTAATAAGTTTTAATTAGAGTGGACTTAGGATTATTTGAGAAGAGCTAAGGTCATCTCCAATTGAAGGCTGGCCAGATAGCTCGTTTTAACCCTCTGGTCATCCAAAAAATTAATATTTTAATGAACAGTGCAGGGCCATATTTCTTACCATCTCCAACTGAGGGGCTAGAGGGTCATAGACCAAACATAGTCTTGTGAAAAAAAAACCATCTCCAACCAAGGGCTAAAGGGTCATAGGGCCAAACATAATTTATTATTTTAATTGAACTACTATGGTTACTTAAATTAAATTACCTCAATCATTTTATGTTTTGGGATTGTCAATAATTTTCATATTGTTAAATGTTTTTAAAAATATTGTCTAAGTTTCATGTTGTTAAATTTTTTTTTAGTTTTTATGTTGTTTAATGTTACTTAATCTTGTTTAATAACTTAGAAAGTTATAGGGAAAAAAAATAGCATTTTTAAATATTGTAAAAAAAAAAAAAAAAAAAAACCAAATATGACGTCAGCATGTGGCCTGGCCTGGGGCCAGCTGGTTGGCTACTCTGGGCCGACCGGGTGGCCCTTTTTTGTCCAGTAGGGCCCACGAGCCATTTGGTCTGACCCTCGGTTGGAGACGGTTTTCGGGCTATTTTCGGCCTTCTGGACCCTTTAGTTGAAGGTGGCCTAATCTTCTATAAAATAAAGGAGAATACTTCATACTTATATTATGCATGCATTGTACAAATATTATGATTAAAATGGCTCATTTCTCTTGTCCTTAAGCAATTATTTTTATAAATTATGTCTTGGAATGAAAGACAATTCAGAATGACACACCGCGACCAAAGTCTAGACGTGCTAGCTGTCACGTGAGGGTGACGTAGTCAAGTGTGCTACAGAAGTGATGATAGTAATAAGTAAATGTGAATAAATAAAAACTAACTTAAGCTTATTTAACTAGTGATAAAAATAAGTGCGTGAAAGGATCAAGTACCAAATACAAGTATTCAGAGCATAGGCAATCCAACAGTGCAGTCAACCCAACTAAGTGCTAATTATACAAAACAGGGAGAAGATCCCTACACTTATTTAGTAGATCGTCAGAACCGCCGAGAAGTCCTTGTGAGCCACTAAGATGTACAGCTACCTAGGACCTGGAGGGGCGCAAAACAGAAGGGTGAGTGGGCAAAAACAAAACATTTGAAAACACATTTATCTTTTCTGAACATAATAATCCCTCACTGTAAAACCCGTATAGTTTCTAGAAAATAATACTACGTATACACATACGAATACCAATGCACAAGGCTAGTAAAAACTGTAATATGCCATGTCATAATGTTTCCACACTAAAAGATGTAAGTCAGGTGAAATCAATATAAAGTATATGCTAGTCGGAGTCACCTGTACGACTGGACCCATAGCTCATCAGTATATGCTAGCACACGAATCGGAACCACCTATTGTAATCTGTACGATAGGGCTAGGTGTTATGTACGCTCAAGTGCTACGATCATGTGAAGGTTGTGCGAATAATCGCATGCCACCTACGAGTCAGAACCACCTATTGTGGTCTATATGACAGGGCTGGCACCAAACTTGGATCCAAGGTGAAAGTGTGGTGCGGGAGGTGAACATCACGTGAAGGACTGTGCTTTAATCTCGGGCGGGAGCACTATCACTGGGTTGCAGCAATGATGAGCTCTAAATGCATCTATGCATAACGATGTGCAATATACTCACCTGAAGCTTACCTGAGCCTCCGCAGTATCAAACAATATAATTCATGATTGATAATAATGAAATACTTAAAATGTAACTCATTTTCGACATGGCATTTAAAGCATAAATCATTTTGAAAAAAGATGTTTTGGAAATATATATATATATATATATGTATGTATATATATATAGAAAGCAAATGCCCACTCACTAATAAGTAGCAGGATCGTAGCCTCTCAATCTTGCTTGTCCACGCTTGTCCTCGAAGTACGTTTCACCTATATGTGAAATAACCAATTTTTCGTTCATTTTAAAGCACATACATAAACCAGAGGAATAACTTCTCATACGTTGCTCAAATGGGGTGTTTGAATATACCAAAATGATCTACTCGACAACACGAACACCTCCATATTTTTAGAATAATTTTTGGACGTCACATGCGCAGGCACGTGCCTGGCACACTGACAGAATCCTTAACGGCGTTAGGGAATATTCCGTTAAAATAGTAGAATATTCCATTAAATCCTAACGGAGTTACCTTACACCATCAGTATATTTCGTCAAAGTTGACGGAATATTCCTCTTCTTCTCCGGTGACTTGCCGGAATCCGCAACCAGCCGCCGTTTGTACTCGACGGTTTCTGGAAAAATTTCAAAGTTTAATATCCTCTCCAATTCTCAACCAAAATCCAAGAAACTTACATGGATTTAAAGGTCTTAAAGAGTACAACACAACCATACATATTAGAGGTCCAAAATCTAACGGAAAACAGTCAGAATTATCCTTGGAACAACCAACCAAAATTGGAACTTCAAGAACTCGACTATTCCGATGTCCAAACCACTCCAAAATTGCTCCAAGATGTTAGGGAAGTTGAGTGGGTACCTTACTAAACCATAAAACTTCGAAATCACGTCAGGATCGTGACGGAGCAAACTTCACCTCGCCGGAGGTTATGGTTTCTCGAGTTCCCGTGATTCCTTCTTCGAACTAAGGGTACAGTTAGGTTCCTAAGCTTGCAAGGAACACAAAGGTAGTCTTCAAAAGCTCGATCCGTGCAAGTTGATGATGGTTGGGTGTATGGGTGCTACGGTTTACGGACGAGGAAAGGTCGAGAAGGTGAGGGAGAGAAGAAGGATGCGTACGTGTGTGGGTGTATGTGTGTGTGCGCCCGGGATTGGTTAGAAGAAAATGATCATAAGCCCTAATTGGGATGCCGTGAGGAAGAGAGAAAGAGTTAGGTTCTAGTTGGCCCAAAGAAAACAAAACAATCCAAATCTAATTGGCTCAAGAATATAGGGACTAAAATGATTGGTGAATAAGTGATAGGCAACCCAAAATTATATTTCTACCCAATCTCGATCTTTAATCGCCGTAAAATTTTAAACTACATATGTGCATCCACGTCACCAAGCCAACGAGGGCATATTCGTCACTTACACACTCGGGGAGAAAAATATATAATAATTTGGGACGGGTCGTCACACATAATTTGCATTGTCTACGAACAAGGAAGTTATTAGTAATGCAACTATGAATCTCAAGAAAAAGGCAGACAAAGTCCGAAGGCTGTTATTCCAATAAATCGATAATTTTGATAACAAGTATCATACTTATAGCAAACTATCACTAAATAAACCCAAGTTATTAGAGTTTAACCAAGTGTTATCCAATCCAAAAAATAAATCAAACGATCGAGTTGATGTATTATCTCTAGGAGTGTAAGTTGGGTTGGTCAAATAGGGCAAGTTTCAAGAAGTTAGGGCATTGTTAGGGGAGAAAGATAGGCATTGGGATTTGGATTATAATTATTACAGAGAGTTGGAAGCGGGGAAAGCCAGTCGTTTTATGCAATTTAATTTGTGAGGAGAGAATAGAAATGTCTATGACTGACATATCTTTATACATTTTCCAACACTCCATTATATTTTTGGCTCCTTCTAGGTTCTTAATCACACACTTGCAACTTGGCTTTCGATCTCTCTCCGGCTCGTCTTCTCTGCCGTATGTTTCTCCTCTAACATCAACTGATTATCTATTTGCATAAACGAACATGGCTCTCCCTCCACCTCAAAAAAAGAAAATGTATAGCTTTCAAGGAATGTGACTTCGTGTCAAAGTTTGAGAGACAATTTTGCGACCGATTACTAATCAACACCAAGTTTAAGGTGTGCAGTTTCTTGAAAAAAATCTCATTGCAAGTGGTAGAACCACATGTTTTATCCAATAAGTGTGCAGTTTCTTAAAAAAATATCTCATTGCAAGTAGTAGAACCATAATTATAAAAAGAATTAATTTAATTGCATAAGATTTCTTATGCAAGACATATGCTTCAACACTTCAATTTAATCATCAAACACTTATGATAAGTACCCATAGCATAGTAAAATATAAAAATTCATTTATAAACTTTAGACCTTTTAAACACTAAATAGTTCCTTACATGCATGCAAAACTTATTTATGAAGAACACACACACAAAAAATACACATATTATAATTTTTTTTTTAAATCTGAGTCAAATATATATATACAGTTTCATAAGCAGCTTGATAGAAAACTCACTAATGTAAAGGTTATAAAAAGGAGGGGATCGATGTCCAATATTCGAAGTGTGGATGAAATCAATGAATTGCAAGGTGTTGTGATAAGCCTTCCCGATTAAAAATGAAAAAAAAACGTTGCACACTAAACTTTCTTGATGTTTAACCGTCAAATTAAAAAAATTGAACGAAAATAACAGATGAAATTAAACAAGATGTATGAGAGCCTAAAAAATATACGTGAAAAATTTGTATTACCGATTAAATTAACAATTTTAAATATCACCATGAGCTTGTCATTTATGGTCTAATAATTTTTTTTTTTCATTTGTAATTAAAAAATTTTAAATCTAAATAATGAGTTCGATATTAATTTATTTTTCACACTTCTAATATATCACTTTATCAAATGTCACCCTGTGCTTGAAATGGAATTTAAGGCCTTAACAAGTCCTCAATACCAAAGTGATCTTTATGCAGCCATCAGATGGGCGCAAGCCACGATAATGAAGACCGACTTGACTCTATCTGTAACAAGCCATATAAACCAAAGGATATAGAACCCATCCGGATTTAAATTGTGAAAATTCTAAGGATTTTCACATCTTAGCTATTTATTGTATATCGTACGATAAGAAATTATTTGATTTTCTTTTATTTAAAATTAAACACAAATAATACCTGACGAAAACTGACCATATGATGTATGATAAATGGTTACAACGTGAGGATCCTTAATATCCTCACAAAAAGAATCTCTAAGATTGCCTAAAATAGGATCCGGAGAGGATCTTTCTTTGGTTTTGCTTTGCAGTGACGGACAATTACAGTTTGCATTCGTGCCTCTCTCTCTCTCTCTCTCTGTGTAGCCATTCTCCATGTCACCAAGTTAATTAGTTCTTTCTTTTTTCCATTTCTGGCCCAAAGAAAGTTTTACATGATGGAAAATGTTCCCCACCATCTTATAAAAGATCTAAACAAAGATATTGACTTGATGTGAATGTGTACTTGTTGATACAGAGATTTGATATGTGTTACAATTAATTTACTAGGCAGGAGGAGAAGGGAGGCACTCATTATCTTTTGTTTGTAAAAATTCAATTTTTCTTGTTCGTAAAGTGAGGATTTAAGGGGGAGAGAGACGTTGGACAGAGTCATGATGCATATGCATGAACCTGCTTCAAATTTTAAATGAAGGAGAAGGCACTTAAGTTTTTCCACAACCAAGAAGATTCCCTCAATCACTTAGATTTTGACTAAACCCTTCTTATAGTAGACCACATTCAATTCTTACATTGATGATGATGATACATCTACATTAATGAAATTTGAAAAAGTTGCTGTGTGAGAGAGATGATGGTTAATTGTTTTTATTATTTATTTTTATAAGAAAAGATATTTAGTATAAGCAATATATTACATTAGTCTAATTAAATGAAAGAGAAGAGTTTAGAATCGCGACAGAGAATACTGAAGAGGAGTAGACTTCGTATGAAAATGAGCATAAAAGTTGTGCCGAAAACTAACGTAAGAGAAGAGAAATTACGATAAGATAATATCATTCACTCAGAAAGAAAACACTAAATGAAAAGCAAGAAATAAAGAGGAGGGTGATGAGAAAATGTATGCAAAAATACTTGAAAGAAATGAGTAAAATGAGTTCTAATTATTAAACTCTCTAGATTAAATCAGTAATGCAGCTCTTACTAAGGGTCTAGTAACATTTGGTCTTGTAACATCTAAACCCTCTTACTGACGTATGAACATTTTGGTCTTGTAACACCTAATATGGAATTCTACCTTATCGGAGAAAGCATTAAGTTTAAATTCATAAACAATACACGTTTAATAAAATAAAAAAAATAAAAAAGTTGACCGAATCATTAGTAAACATGAGATCCTTTCGTGTAATTACCAGTTCTATATTTTTTGTCTTTCCCGTCACTTGATTTGATTAAAATAAATAAATAAATAAATAAAGAAGAAAAGAGAGAGATATATACCACCGATTACACACAATAATTTCCCAATTAAAGATAATAATTGAAACAAATCAAGCCAAAGAAATGAACACTGTTTTATGAGCATATTACATAATCAAGCATGGGCTAAATCACCGACCGGAAAGAGAGCATAGCCGACTTTAATTTTTAGTATCCTGTAACACAGACATACAATATGCCTTCAACTTTTTGTGGAACCAAAGAACCTGAGTTTGTAACTGGATATGACAATTATACGAGTCCATTTGGGTCGATGGCAAAGCTAATATGGGATCATTGTAGTGGTGGATCCAAGATTTTAAACTCAGGGATCCCAATTATAAAGGTCAAACAATTTATAGACAAAAATAACATTAAAAATTTAAATATAATACATTTCATTCAAAAATCATATGCAAAACAATATTACAAATTATAAAATCATAATTCCAGCGTCCATTACGAGGTTTCATAAGTTACTAGTGAGTACCTAAGTTATTGATTATCTGATGAACCACTAAATTTAAGACACCGGTCAATTAAAACTCTCCTCAAACTCCCACTATCTTTCTAACCAAACACACCATTTTTCTCTTTTACTAGTTTCCAAACATTCACCTTCTCTCTCACTAAGAACAAAGTTGCCATACCTCCACCAACCGCCTCCCTCCCCATTTTTCCGAAGCCATGGCAGCTTCACCCCCAAATTTCACCAACCCATGACAGATCATATCCATCTTACTAACATTATGAAGGAAATTTCACCCATAAGAAAAATTACTAAGATGGTTGAAATAATTTGGGGAAATTTGGGCTTATGTACTGCCCCCGCCAAACGACAGAGAAAGGTTGGAAGAGAAGTGGGTGGCATCGACGGATGAGACCATGGCAGAAGCAAGGATGAGACAGGCATGAAGGGTTCTTATTTTCTTTCTTCTTGGTGCGCGGTCATCTTCTCCGAGAAGAAGACAGCCACTGCAACTTGCAACCTACAACCTGCATAGACCTCATGCTCGAGTACGAGGGGTCCCCGAAAAATTTATAGCAGGGATTTAGGATCGCCGACGGATCCTGGGACCTCCCAGGTCCCTATGTGGATCCGCCCTTAGATCATTGGTTATCTTTGATTTCAACAACGTAAAAAACTTCATGTATGTTCGTTTGTATATTGTATTTGACTCTTATAAACATCTAAAGTAAATTAAATTACAACAGTATTCTCCTACTTTTTCTATTTTATTCTATCATATTTGTCTTTCTAAGTATTGGTAGTCTTTAACATTACTCTACAGAATCATGCGTTTACCCTCGACAAGTCTCTACAAATAATAGTAGTTGTCGACATGTTGGCATAAACTTTTCGTCATATGTTAACAGAAATTAGCAGGTGTCTGCTAAGTGCTTGACGAAATTGCCCAATTTTTATTTTTTTTATTGATATTCTGATCCCATTATTTGAAAATTATGGCTACGCCATTGATTTGGATACCTTTATAAGCCAATAGATTTAGGCCATCTCCAACCGAAAGGTCTAGAGGGTCGAAAATAGCCCGAAAACAGTGTATAACAGAGGGCTAGGCTAGAGGGCTCATGGGCCCCACGAAATCTGAAAGGGCCAACGAGCTGGCCACAAGTAGCTAGCCAGCCAGCCAGGTGTGGGCTAGAGGGCTAAGTATTCTTGTTGATTATAACCGACAATAATGCT